ACACAAGGATTACATAAAACGTTCATAAGCATAAGAATTACGTTCGTCCACTGTGAACAGGGGTACACGTTTTCCATCGTTTCAACTTTACGTATTTATGTAAGCTTTATGTACTTGTTATGCCTTATGTCCATTGTGAATGGGCAGTAATGCTTGTACCTACCTGGCTTCGGAGCGAATTTGACACAATTATTAGAAGTGTTACACACTCGAAAATTTGAGAAACAATATAAAATAGATGCTATGGCGCGAGATCGTGGATTTCGGGTGATTAGACTTCCGCCGTACCATTGTATATTTAACCCCATCGAACTAATCTGGTCGCAAATGAAAAATAATATAAGAAGGAATAATACGGCACCAAAATTTAGTAGTGCAACAATTGACATAATTAGGGAAGAAGTTTCCAAAATAACTGCCGAAATGTGGGCCAATTGTGTACGACATTCCACAAAAGAAGAAGACCAGTACAGGGCACGGTTGATAACACCGTTAATTATTAATTTAGAAGAGTCGAGTGATGATGACAGTGACTATTTCGATCAATAAATAAGCAGTAGTAGTTAATAAGTAAATAGTTGTGCTGTAATAAAAAATGATTGAGTACAAAGTTACTTTGTTTTTACTTAAAATAAAAAACTCGAAAGGCGCAGTTGTCGGTAAATGCAAAACTCAGTCCTGCCCTGTGCTTTTACCAGAAAAGGTCTTTTCAGGTAGGTATCAGTGAGCGGGTTTAAGACATCCGGTTGTGACGGCCTATTGAATTATAATGGGAGTCAAATTGGTGTGAAGTCATAAACGCCAAATACGTTTGAGGATAGTATACCTTCGCTTTAAGCAAACATTGTTGTCAAATGGAATTTTATCGAATTATTACAAAAACAACACAACCATATCTTTGTATAGAAAACTCACTTGACATACACCTTGTAAAACTTTTATGCCAAAGCACCCTTATACGTCAAACTGGCTATTGTATAACTTAAACTCAGGTCACATATACCTAGTAAAACTTTACAGCTCCATTATTATTATTATTATTCGTAATAGTATTCCAACAGGCGAACCCAATTATAGAAATACAGAGTGCTACCAAAAAAAAAAAAAAAAAAAATTAACTCAATAACAAACAAATAAATAAATTGTTTAACTGTAATATTCCTTTATATTTCCTCTAGAATATCCCACTTTCAATCTACCCAATCTGGTGTTTAATGTGCTGCAATGTAGATGAAAATATGTCAAATTGATCAGCAACATGAGTGTAATTTTTGATGGATTGAAATAGAGGTGATGCCAACAATACTTTCGTTCTAGGGACTGTTAGCTCAAACAAATTATTACTTCTTAACCTTCCAATCGACGTTCGAAACCTCAAGAGGCTTAGCAATTCAGAGCAGTCTATTTGAAAACGTAATATTTTGACTAGCAGTAAAATTGAATCAAGTTTTCTTCTGGACATAAGACTGTGCAAACTAAATCTTTCCAACATAATCTCCTCCGGGTATCCCTGTTCAGGATATGCACCGTCAGCTCTGAAAACCATATACTTCAAGAATCTCCTCTGTACTCTTTCAAGGTTAGTCGCATGGATTTTATAGATGGGATTCCATATTACTGAAGCATATTCCAACCGCGATCAAACTAGTGAACAATAAAGCGTTTTTATTACTGACAAGTCTTCAATCTCTTTAGAATTCCGGATTATGATATCCACTGATTTAGAAGCTGACAGAATGATTGTGTTAATGTGATCAACAAAAGTAAATTTTGAGTCGAAAATTACACCTAAATCACGAACTAGCAACAATGCACAGTAATAATCCTTGCGGTTCGGGTCCATAAAGCTTACATTATCTAGTTTGACTTGTGGGTGGTTTGGCTTAAGCCGCATAAGTCATAAGTTTTACAAAGTGTACGTCAAGTGAGTTTTGTATATATTCGAACTGAAATGGTGATTAAACATGGTCATGGGCGAGAGATATATCAATTAAAAGTTTTATTACTAGTTTTCAAGAAAAGAATCAATTTTAAAATCATTATCACTCCACCAAAATGTGTAGATTTTTGTTACCATATTTCCCAGACTCACCAGTTGATTGTTAAGAGCATAACGGAAAGTTAATCCGCCATTTTCCAGATACTCGGTATATCTAAAAAACTCGACTTCTGTGACTACGTTTTAGAAGCTGTCTAGATAACTTTGAACCAATTTCTTTTCACATGCGAAAGTGTATTTATAACAAACACGTTACAAAAATTTTGTCATCGAGTATAAACAAACAACCCAAAATGACATTCAGTTTTTAAGGTAAACCTCAACCATGGTCATATTTTTAGGATCATCAAATTATTTTGGAGTAAAAAAGTGACTCTGAACTCGGCTCGGACCCATTATAATTACCTTGAAAACGACGTAATTAAAATTTTTTCACTATCTGTAGGCACAACATCCGGTAGATGTACAATATGAGTATACCTACGAACTTTGCATAACAATTTTACCTTGTTTAATTACATACCAAAAGCACCAAAGTTCGAAACCGGTCAATGTTAAAGCAGCTATTAAATTGTCTAGACATTAAAAATTTTCTCGTAAAGATGGTATAGATGACACGAGGCAACGTACTTACATTAAACTTTGGCACACCCTGTATATGTCAAAGTCCTCATTTCGTGCAAAATTTTACAAAACGTGAAAATTAGTAACACCCAAATGACTTACGACATTTGAAAACCCCCTATGTCAGTGTTGCCAACCAAAAATCGCAAACCCCCGAATTCCTGTTAAACAATTTCGAAACTCATAAACACAACCACATTGCATTGTTTATATTAAATTAATTCGTGTTTATTATGATTTCAACACGCGAATTCCTTTCCATTAAAAACCCAATTAGGCCCTTCGCCGAAGTCCACGTTCAACGCTCAAATCCGCCTACGTCCAGACGCGAAAAAAATACGGGGTGCAATGCACCTTTTTGTTGATAACTAGAAACCTAACCTAGAAACTCACATCGGTCAAAGAGTTGAGAAAAAACGACGACGAATACGTCTGCGGTGGGAAATTCGTTGCAATTTCGGCCATTTGGGCGCACACTAATTCACGAAAAACACCAAATATTTCGGTGAAACGTCCAAAACATACGTGAACAAGAACGAGTTGGTACTAGCGAGCGTCACAGAAACAATCAAGATCCCATCGCCAACTATTCATTGATAAACACGCCTTCTAGATTTAAACCCGCAGTTGCGCATTGACATTTGAGGTTTTTTTTGACGGATTATGCAGGAATGATGACTTGATGATTATTGGGCGGTTGAAATGTTTTTTTTTTTATTATATAAATATAGAAATATGTGGGTTGAGTGGGGCTGTTTGTGCTAAATTTAATTGGTTCGAAACGAGGTACTAATTAAATAGAAAAACACACCTAGAAATTTATTATTGTAATAATATGTTATAAAAACAGGTACAAATAAAAATGTCATAGTTATTATTTTTGAAACTGTAAGAAATTTTGAATATGTTGGTTTTACGCTAATTTTAGGGAATATGCGATTTCGAAAAAAAATATTTGACGAGACTGTTATTGGCGCGGTTTTTAATTTTATTTGTAGTGCTGCCATCTAATGATACCCATATGTGGAATAAAAAAACGCTAGAATAAGAAACTCCTCAGAATATTACTCTAGAAAAATTGTTTTTTTCTAATAAATATGTTAGAAAGAAAAAATATTAAAAATAAATAGACATCTTAGAATGTTCGGCTACAGATCTCTATAATGGAACCATTTTAAATAAATACGTATATGCAACCAATTATACATACAACTGAATATCCAATAGATTTTTTCAAATTTTCGTTTTAAAATGTTTTCTGGCAACTTCATTTTCTCGTAATGTTAGCTTCATCGAAATAGTCGTTCACACCGGGTTACTTGTTATAAAATCTTCTAAATACAGAGAACAACAAAGTGACAGTTTATTAAAGAAAACTGTCAAACTGTCATTCCACAACTGATCATAGAAAACCATCCTTACATGCAACCCATGCAACTAATTCAAACGACACAACGGTTTATTTGTCAGGTATTTTTTTGAACTGTGCATGTAACATAAATGAACTTTGATATACTCTAATCATCATATTTTTGTTTTATATAGTTCATCCTTCAATTGAGGTTAAACGATGCTGTTGGTGTACCATTAAAACAAATCAAGATATGAATGAAGCAAACACGTTCACCAGAAAGCGCCGACTGTCAGGTCGTTTTATTCCACCTGACATATGCCTTGAATCTTCGTCTTCCGATTCTTCTATAATAGAAGAAGATTCTCCTAAAGAGTTCGACCCTAACAATACCTCAACAATTGTCGAACCAATCTCTCTACAATCAGCTCTTGATATGGAAGGAGTCATGGAAGAAACTGATGAATTTAATGATTCTGTGATAGATGAACCAGCAACCGTTCGAAGATCCAGCAGGAGGAGGATCGCTACAATTAACTCAGAAGTGCCTACAAATACGGTGAACCGAGTTGTAAAACTCACAGCAAAGAGTAGTGAAAAAGCTATTAAAAACTATTATTTAGATAAAAAAGTGAAAAGAACGAATCCCTCTTTAGAGACTATATTTGAAGAACCACAAGTTGTCAATAATGAAGAGGTTGTAATGAGCTCGAGGAAGTTTAAACGGGTGATCAATTTTAGTGCAGTACCACTTGTTAAAAATAGTGCAAAAATAAAAAAGAGGAAAGTGAAAGCTAAAAGCCTGAAGAATAAAGTGAAACATAAAAAAGTGACTCTTAAAGGTTTGATGGATAAACTGAGTGAGATTGATGAATGATAATTGTAATAAGTTTGTACACTGCCCTATTTATTAATATCGTAATTAAATTTTGTATGTATTTTCATGTTTTCATTTAAAAATTTGTACACACGTTCCAAGTATAAGAAACACCCAGGTATCAATGACCCAATAGTTAAACCGAGGTGGGCTAATCAGATGATGACGTTTTCGCTACGACGTCAAAACCATGGCACACTTCCTGATTTATTTCCACCGCCTTCTGCACCTGTCAGAGTGAGGTTATTCCTAAAAAAATTATTGTGTGAAAATTCTATGAAAGCGGCCGCGTCTGCGCCTTCCTCTTGGCAATGATCATCTCCACGTGTGTGACGCATCATGTGGTGATTCGAGTCCAAGGTTACAAAATTGGCCAAAACCGCCGGTTCACCTCGTTATGAATTAAACCGCGTCCAACAGTCTCACTACACTGTCTGTGATCTTAGTGCACTAGTGACATGTCAGTATTAACAAAATTCGTGGCTTTCACCAACCGCCACCCAGTGGTTAGGGGGATGATCTCCTATGCCACCATCTGGCCCACCTCTTGCATCATCCAACAAACCATGGCAGGGAAAACCCCAGAAAATTACGACTGGATGCAAGTCCTACGATTCGGTTTGTACGGAGGGTTGTTCACCGCACCAACACTGTACGCGTGGATAAGGATTTCGACCATGATTTGGCCCAAAACGAACTTGAAGACAGCCGTCATAAAGGTATTTTTTCATTTACCATGTATTGCATATGACTTTATTAATATGAAAAAATAATAATGGGGTGGTAGGCTGTTATAGAACAAATGACGTACGGACCGGCCGCACTGGGGTGTTTTTTCTTTGGAATGAGCTTACTGGAAGGAAAGGGCATCGAGGGAGCCAAAAAGGAAGTGGAGATGAAGTTCTTGCCATCATATAAAGTATGTATGGACAAAGTCCAAACTTTGCACGTGTTTAATGCCGGAAGACAGTGGCGGCTCGTGTCGGTTTAAAAATAGTGGTTATTTTTGTCACGTGACGTACATGCAGCTGCCACTGTTTTTTGTTTGAGCTATCGCCAATAAATCCGTTTTTGCAGGTCGGAATTTGCGTTTGGCCGTTTTTACAAACGATAAATTTCTGTTTTGTACCTGAGAGGAATAGGGTTCCGTACACTAGTGCCTGTAGTCTCGTTTGGTGTTGTTTTCTGGCCTACATGCACCAACTACAAATCAAAAAACAGGCAGAATTGTCGCTTGGTGGTCAGCTTTTGCCGCAATGACGCTAGTCCTAGTTCAAATATTGTAGATCTTGGGATTTTTGTGATTAATCTGTGGTATTTTTTATTGATATGTGTAGAATGAGACGCAACAGGGTATCTGATTAGCTGTGTTATTTATTTGTATAAATCGATGTTAATTTTGTTGTTAATTTTATTTATTGCATAAATCCGTTTTTATAGTTTTGTGTTTTATTGCGTTTCAAACTTTGGAACGATGCCCAAGCTATTATTCATCTGTGGCAGGAGTGCCAACTTTACTTGACATAACTGAGTGAAGGAAACTTTTAGAGTCACCGTGGGATGAAGACTGTAAATTTTTTGCCTTTGTCCTCTTTTTGGTTGCCCATATGTTTGAAGCAAATGCAACTTCGAGTTTTAGAGCTTCAAAGTAGCTCAGCTGAAATGCAGTGAAAACTTTAAATACTGTGACATAAAAAAATACTTTGTATAATATTGAAAGGTATCAAAAAAGCGCAATTAAAAACTTACGTGTTCTTCCACCGAAACATTTCTCACGTTCCACAAAAACTCCATCATCGCTAAAATAAAAGCCACCCCTACCCCAATCCCCAGCACCAAAAACACCCCACCCACATTAGCCAGCGCCAACTCGGACGAACTTTTCTCCGACGACCTGACAGGAATACAAGGAGGATCATCCCGCATCTTTTCCCACCACTTTATCTTCAACTCCTTCAACTTAGAATCTTCCTGTAGCTTCAAAATAGCCCTATTTATGGCACTCCTGTAGGGGTAGTCAATGGGCATGGCGATCCCATACCCCTTAGTATCCAACCAGCTCCCAACTTGCTTCAAATCACACTTAGTTTGAGTCTCGTACTCAATCTGTGACGACTCCATAAAAAAAGCATACAGTCGATTTTTGCTACCCTGTACTCGTTTAACTCCGTCGGCGTTGTTTTTCTCGAAGACGCTGGGTTGAGCCTGGACCATGCTGGTCCACATTTTCTGGAAAGTGGAGTAGTTGGATTCGCGGAAGAAAGCTTGGGTGGCGCCGCCTTCAACCGTACCGTATTTGATTTTGGTTTGTTTGGCGAGGGCTTCGGCACTGTCGATTACTGGTTCCATGCGTTCCATTGTGAGTAGGGCGGCTAAGTTTGCGGTGTAGCAGCTCGTCATGATGAGGGAAAAGAACCACCACATGGAAGTAACCATTCGGGAAGAAATTCCTCTGTTGTGTGATTAAACAACGACTCGTGACCCTTAAAATAAGGTACTTACTTGGGTAAAATGTCGCAGCCTTGCGTCATTATCGAACCAAGTGTGACCCACAAACAATTTTTTAGGTTCCAGATGTTCTCAAGTTCTTCGGGGTGGCGGTCACATGGATGGGGGTTTTCCCAATCACCGGGTGCCATACTACAGAAAATGGATGCCTACTAGATGTCTGAGAGCCATCGAGGACTTACCGTGCCACTAGGTACAAAATCACAGAAACCGCTAAGTACAAAGTGGCTGTATAAATCCAAATGTCAGTCGAAAACGGGGTAAGAAAAGCAAACATGTTAACGTCTTTTTCTTCGGCTTTTTTGTACAAAATGCTTATTCCTAGACGCATGAAGGGCATGCTAAAATCGACCACTTCGCGTCGCTGGTGCGTTATCGATAAGTCACAGATGGCCAAATCGGCCTTCTAAAGTGATAACTGACTAAGTACACAACATGAATTTGTTTCACACTTACGCGGTCTAACAAATCTTTAATTAACCCATTCCACGATTTGGTCACCGGATCGTAATTCCCATACTTTCCATCTTCGGCAAGTCGAAATTCGTACTTAAACCCGAGTATTCCAGCTATGCCGTCTATCAGGTCCATCGAAAAACCTTCATATCTCGCATTACCAGTGAGAACGTCCCCTTCGAAGCGAGGTTTGCGTTCCATCAAGTACGGCGGACCTAATCTAAAAGGTACTATACAAATGGGAGTCCACAATTTGCCAAATTTAAAACCTGGAAGAAACTATCAAAACTCCTTTTTGCATATTTTTGACTAAAGCGTCGTAGCTGTCGTTGTCGCTTCTCATGAATGTGAGAACGTCAGGGCTTTCGGCGTTCCACGTAGCGACAACGTTGTCACGATGACCCCCAACAACGTAAATCGTGAAATTTGTACGCCTACCGGTGGAATCAAAAGCTAGGGGGCCGCTTACTCCAACGGGATTTGTTTTCTTAAAAAAAGAAAAACAGAAAAAACAAAAATATAACATATTAAAGGTCTTACGACTTTCATAAAAGAAGCAATTCGGAACCCATGCTCCCATTTCTCCTCACTGTCGCAATATAAAATCGTTGGGACAATGGGATCAGTCACATGGACCGCGTTTACTGAGTTCATGAACATTTCAGCCGCATCATAGATAAGAGCCGTTTTGGTCTGGAAAACGACAAAGCCAGACTTTCACACTTACTTAAAACTTTACATACTGTAATAGAGAAAGGTCTAAACTGAATTCGATTCGGATCATGAAAGTCTGCATACTGTTCCCATTCAGTTAAGGCACTCTGAAAATCCTCACTACTAGGATCAAGAATTCTGATTGTGGTAATATTGACAGAGGCATGTAGTGACGAAAAATCAACAGTGTGGGCATCCTAAATACCAAAAATAGCATACAATAAATAAAAATATTAGTTTGTACCAGCGACGTTAAAAAATAATTGTAGGACGACGACTCCATCAAGCCCACTTCTTTCGCCTGTTCTAAAACCCTAAGAATACTGTCTGATTTACAGTCTAAAATGATTCTGTGTTCACTAGAGGCCCGAATTTCTTTCAACAAAGGTCTACAATCGGGTCCTTCCAACTGCCGCACCATTACAGTACTGTGTTTATTGTAACTTTGCAATTTCAGTACTTCTTGTAACCTAACCAAACCGTCGTTCTCCTCATATAGAATCACAAAGCTCCTCCACTGCAAATTTCGAACAATTGTGGCCAAAGCCTGAGACAACAAATACGCATCTGGGTAGAAATTAATAGTCGTGTGTTTATCATCAAAGAACGCCGATTGGTGCCAACTTGTGAGAAAGTGGGGGATTTCCAAATTCGCGCTCACGGATTGGATAATCGACGATGACGTAAATGAAGTGGGGCTAAAAACCGCCGCCAACCCTCCTTCTTCTTGCGTGATGTTGCACACTGGAATGTACTCCGTCGCAAACTCACACCCTCGACTGTACCATACTTACGGAGTCTACAACACTGAAAACTATCGATTCTGGCAACTTTTTGTGTCTTCACGACGTATTCAAACTCTTGTTGCATTGTATTCATGGTGTGTACTACGCTTTTAAGGGCGATTTTCGCCTGGTCATCTTCCTCGTCGAAGAATGCGCCTGAAAATAGTCACTGAAATAAAGCACGAGTGATGATCTCACTCACCGATCGTGATGACGTTTTGATTTGCCAGACATAGGTAGTTGTAAGCAGCAAACATCAACAGCCAAAATACATTTTGGTAAACTATTTTCATGGTGGCACTTGGTCAAAAATGTTATCGCACGAGGCTTCCGTGCAATCGGCGTGAAATAATTTATGTTAGAAGGTTTGCATATGGCGTTGGAAGCGCGCCAAATTTTTTTGGTTTACCGAGAATAGAACGATTAAGATTTGTTTGTTCTTCAGGGTAAGTACTTTTTCAGAGCTGTGTCACTGATAAAAATCGTGAACGCGGGGATCGTGGCAGTGAAAAGGTCGTTTAAAATAAAATGGGGTCAAGGTAATGTTTGTTGTAGTTAAATTTGTTGGATGCCGTTGTAATAACCCAAACCTGCCGCCGAATTTTGCACATGCGCACTCTGAACAAGAAAAACCGCGCAAATTCAAATGAATAATTTGGCCTATGATCGTGAACGTCTAGCAAGGTTAGGACCTACGTCGTGTTACGTTAATATGGCGGCAGGCGGTCCAGATCTATAGCGAAGTGAGCAAACCAACGAGTGAGGGAAGAACACAGGTATAAAGACACATAAATTTTTAACGGGAGGGCGCCTTTAATGTTTAACGATTACACAATAAACGAGTTAAACACATTGCAGTTTGCAATTACAATTATTTTTGCGACACATTTCGTCCTGTTTACTAAATTTAATATCATTGTGTTTACAAATTGTTAAAAAGCAAGGTTCGGGTCCAAACCTCCCAGAAAGACACCGAACAGGCCCATTAAATTACATCTTTTCTAACAATAAATTTTTCTTATAATTTTTATACGCGGAACAATGACTCCCATTCGCACCTTCGCCGTGAAAAAAAAAACAAAAAAAAACGTAGCGCTTCGCCAGTGGAAGAACAGGAAGGTTATTTGACGTGCAAGGATATACAAGTGTCACATTCGAGAGAGAGATAAGAGGGGGAGAGAGAGAGAGAGAGGTAGTTAGGGCCGGGGGAACGCCCCCCCGTCCAAAAGTTTCCTGTCCGGGCCCGCCGGCTTCGTGGCGCGATGTACCATTGACTACCGGCCGTTCCACGAGAAGCTGCTGTCCCCGAATACAACTGCCACCCCGTCTACAAGGTCCGATGGCCCCGCAGTAACCAGGTCGCTGCTCAGTAGTATCGTGTACCGTCCGATCAACGACGGGATTAAAGTCGGCGGTACATCACGCATCGATCACCCGCGGAACGGAAAAAAGAAAAAGGAACCGGACCTATCAATCATGCCTTGTACTAACGTGAAAAGAAGAGAAGTCAACTACAAAGACACATAAAAAAAAACACCCGCGTTCAGGGCAGACGATAAACACACAAATTTAAAAAATAATGGGTGGGGGGTTTCCCCTGGGGTGCTTCCCCTATTGCCGTTTTGGCTTTTTGGCGAGTACATATTGGAAATTCAGCTGTAGGAACTAATCGTCACGTGCGCATACATTAATTATTAGGTACATTTACACACACAAAAAAAAGAAAGAGAGAGAACGAGAAATGAGAGAGAGGGGGAGAGAAAGCTCTGCGCCACGGGTCGTAGTTGAGTGCAAGCGAATCAGATTACGAACAGAGGAGTCATTATTTTCACAGGTTCTAATTTACGTGTTACGACAACACTTCAATAAACAAAGAAACAAATAACCAAGCGTCACCGTCGCGTCGGTCGCCATTTTGTTCTCCGTGAAGCGTCACATGTTATCCCTTTCTAATTAATACAAATAACAAAGATAGACAAACGCCACCATCGCGTCGGTCGCGATTTTCGCTTGTGCGCAGCGTCACTCGGTTTCTCTTTCTAGCTAACACAATAACAAAGACAGCAAAACGCCGGCGTCGCGTCGGTCGCCCTTTTTTACTTTTCGTGAAGCGTCACAGACTGTCTCTTTCTAACTAACGCAACTAACAATTACCCAATTACCCGATATCCACCACCTAGCTACGCTAACCCAAAACAAAACAATGCTATTTACCCACGTTCTATGTCCGTCTTAAAATTAACCCTTCCATTCCTAGCCCACTTTGATACAACTTTCCGACACCTGACCGCGCGAACAACGAATCTATCATTATTATACCAACACCGCTTTCGCATGCATGCACACCTCTTACAATAATCCGCCTCTAACATCATATGTGATAGTCTAGCCTACCAATAAGCCACCGAGTTGGGAAAGGGTTAATCCAATCGGCGTCCTTTCAGCTTCGGCACTTAAGTCGCAGTCGCCGTGCGGGCGTCGCACTAAATTTCACCTCACTGGGTAGGAAATCGTTTATTGGTACACCGCACCGTCCCAAATGTCTCGGAGGAGTCGGTGGTTTCCTATTTCCAGACGAAAAACTCCAGAAAAATACAAAGATTGACACCAGTAATTTGTTCGATCTTGCACCCTTGAAGGTAGTACTCTGACTGACTTCTCTCCCTTCCTTTTCGCCTCGTATCTCCGCATCCCCCGGTACGTCCCGTACCACCCAACAGATGGCGTACTAAGTATCGTTCTGGTAGAGTCCCTGTAGAGAGAGTACCGCAAACCTCCGCCATTTTAACTCCAATACGACGCGCCAACTTTAAACGGAGCATGTTGATGGGTTGTATGAATAATAAATTCTTGTAGAATAAAAATTTTTAGAATTTAAAACGAAGGGCAATTTTTGAATCGAAACGAAGTACTATTTCCCAATTTTATTCATATCATCCAGTTCATGCTATTTTAATTTGGATTTTTAATGATAGGGCAAGAATTTAGGTAAACAAACGAAAGGACAATCGCAGAAAATATTGAAATCTTTTATTGCATTTTGTTTGCCAAAACACGCATCGCAATACTTTTACTACTTCTAATATTAACACTATTGGTAACAATTTTTTTATGTATAAACTTATTCTCATGTCGTAAACTAAAGAAAAATCGCGTCCTGACAAAAATATGTACAATTTTATTTACAATTGGATGGCACGTGGGCGAAGCCGAATACTGATTTTCTCCCAAAAATTCATTTGAAACATCAATAAATGTTTTTTTATTGTTGAGCAGCAAATGTTTGTTCCCTCTAAAATACATTTCTGCCCTAACTATATAATTAAAAAACTCCACCTTGGGGAAGTGAAGAATATTTTCTTTATAACTTTTTAACCGTGTTAACAAGCCCAATGTGTTATTTTTTAGTTCTTCGTCCTCTTCTCGACCTTTTTCACTCCTATTGTTACAGTTGGCGATACAACAACCCGGCATTGTTCACTTATAAAATCCCACTTTATATAATATATACAGATATTTACACGCACTATACACACATTCCAGCTCTTGTTTTTGTTCAAAAAAAAAAAAAACAACAATCAAAACTAACGTTATTTCAGCTGATGCCGAGCCGCCATTTTACCTCCAAGGTAGTGAGTAAAGCAATTGCGGTACTCTCTCTACAGGGACTCTACGTTCTGGGATAAATTCGGATGTTGCTTTGGCGCTGATCTTGTTTCGATTTAAATTTAAAGCGGGATATTACACCGTGGATGTTAATATAAAAATAAGAAAAACGTGCGCCTAATCAAATTGTCATAAGGTTTTGTCTGATCTGGCTAGTCCGTCTGATATGGTTTGGTGTCCGTTCGTTTGTCTGTCTGTTTGATCCGTCAAGTCTGTCTGATCGACTAATCGTTACAATGTTAATCCAAGCAAGTTAGCTTTATTCTAGGATAATTTTCATTCAAGTGTGTAGCTTTAAAATTACAACAAAATGTTGATTCTACAATTTTTTGTTCTTTCATAACTCAATTGGATCAAAATATCAATATCTTATAAAGTAGATTCCGATCACCTTTGGTGTATTGTGGGTTGCATATGCTGCCACAAATATTAATTTGTATCTTAATTATAATTAATATTAACTCTTCGTATTATTATTAACAATTAAACATGATTTATACTCTACCCTTACAAAAATTTTAAAATAGCGCTTTCCACCTCCCCACTCTCCCCACCTCTTGTCAAAATCAGCTGTTTGTCAAGCACCTGTCTACATACCACTTATTGATGTCAAGTCCCAAATACCGTTTCACCTCCGCATTCCTTCCATAAATAATGCCACATGAAGACAACCTCCTAACAGAACGATGTGGCTCTTTAGGCCACCCCATCAGATACACCCGCCAAGGTAACACCCCATCAACCCCCTCACAATTCAAAAATCTTCTCCAACAGGTCACAACGCTATCTCCCGGCGCGAAGAATCCGAAGAAACCTTCGCCGACTCTTTCCTCCAATCGCTTCTGGGCTTCTTTCGCGAAGTTCTCCTCCCACATGGTTATCCAGACAGTGTAAGCGAAGATTATTTTGATTACCAACTATGGGACACGGTCCAAGCCTTTTGTAGTACCATCACTGGGATCTTCACCACGCAGGCCATCCTCAAAGGGGTGGGTGTGGGTAATGCAGAAGCCTCTGCGCTGTCTGCCACCATCACCTGGATTATGAAAGATGGGACAGGCATGGTTGGGAGGATTATTTTCGCCTGGTGGAAAGGGTAATGGGTTGTAAATGGGCGAGAGGGTTTGAGTCAAGACCTTTTTGTAGAAATTCGCTTGATTGTAACTGTAAGAAGTGGAGGCTGTTTGCGGATTTGTTGAATGATGGGGCAATGCTTTTGGAGTTGTGTATACCATATGTCACGCATTTGTCCATGGAGGTTTTGTGCGTATCGACGGCTATGAAGGCCGTGGTAAGTAATATTTGACTTTATTTAAAAATGTATGCTGCGTATTTAATTCATCAATCATACAGTTCTGCGTCACTAAAGTTGTCGCGGAAAATAACTAATATGTAATCAATTACCGCTTAATTGTATACCTCGCAGGCACAGTATAGTTTTGAATAAAATAAATGACATAGGAATTAATATTAGCAGCTCTTTCCAAGTACTATATACACGCGCTCTTTGCAGGTGGGCGTGGCTGGTGGTGCCACCCGTGCCTCGATAACCAATCACCAAGCAGTAAAAGGCAATATGGCGGAAATTTCGGCCAAAGATGGCAGCCAAGAAACCCTCGTGAACCTAATAGCAAGTTTCACCGGAATTTTTCTAATAAACTACTTCACGGATGCAACGTAAAACCACACACTTGTAAAAATTCAAACCCAGATGTATTTTTGTAGAGCCCAGTGGATTGTCACCTTCCTTTTGATTTTACTTCATCTGTATTCAAACTATCAAGCGGTCACTTCGCTAATTTTCAAAAATTTGAACGATCTGCGATTAACTTTGGTCCTGAAGAGTTATTTGGTTGTAAATGCCGTTTTAGGACCGGAACGAATCAATCAAGTGGAGTCAGTTTTTTTGGGTTTTGGTATCAGTGTGGAGAAGTTTTGCGGATTTAAAGTAGTTTTAGGGAAAAGTTTATCAAAGGCCTTGAAGAATTATAGTTATGAAGAGCTAAAGAGCCTCACGGATGTGTATAAGGATAGGAAATATTTAATAGTACCTGATTTACAAAGAAGAACTATGTTTGTTATTTTTGAGAGAGGGGAACTTCCAGCGGACATCATAGCTGGATATTACAATGCAGTATTATTGGGAATTGCTACCTGTATATACAATAGGGAGACTCTTGTAAGTGTTATAAATATTGAAAAAAAAAACAGACTAAGAAATTACTTCAGGACATTTATGCCAAGAGACAGCTACACCATTCAGCTCCTATTACAAGATTGAGCACCTTCATGAAGTCGTATGATATTAATAGCCGTGACACCCTAGAAAACCTTCCTCGTCGGACGTTGGAGGCACTCAATGATTTTATTAATCAAGAAATGGACATGTTATTCATGGCGCTACAAGTTAACGGTATTTTATTCATTTCCTTCCATTTAAATGATCTAAAACCGTTTATTTTTACAGGGTGGAAAACCGACAGCCACGCCCTCTGCGTAGACGAATGGAGGGCCCAATGGAAGGACTTGGACCGAAAGTCCCTCTAACATCTTTTTTATAATTATTTTTTATATGGTTGGTTGAATAATAATATTTTCATAAAAATATATATTTTTATATAAATAATACACCATGTTTATGAAGTGGGTGTGGTTGGTTCTTTAGGCCCTGTTTGAGACAAGTGTTTGACAATGTCGACCCAGTTCCACCCCCTGGGTCGTTCCCCCTTATTGTCAACTCGATTCCATTGGCGTCGCTTTTGTGCTTTCGTCAACTGCTCTTTCTTGGGGACTTTTTGAGTCGCCCCCTTAACAAACCATTAAAAATCTTTAAAAAACCATATGAAATACTCACCTGATCACTTTCAACAATCGCCAATTTCTCTATATTGTCCAAGTTTCCCTCAGGCTGCTCCTCAATGAGTTCTTCAAACTTTTCCTTCACAAATTCGAACAATGAGTATGTCATTGACATCCCCAAATATTGTTGAGCTTCTTTTTCAACTAAAGACGCGATTTTGTCTTTGAGAAGTTTAACTCTGCAAGACGAACTTGAGGTGGTTAGGCGTGAAAAATGAGCACTTACACGTGTTTGTTGTAGAAAGTATCCATGTTCACTTCAGGCAGTTCGTTGGGGTACTTCTCACCCCATTTGATTTCAAGGAGGAAGGATTTCATCGTGTCGCTTTCGCCGTACTGGAAGAACTCAAGTCAGAGATAATTTTAGCCAAACTTTACTCACTTTATATTGGAAAGTATTGGAAGAAATTTGTTTAAAACATTCATCCCCATCGTAAATCGACGATAAAACTTCACGTTCCTCCTCTTGTAATTCTGTCTCCGACATTTTGACAATTTAAAACGTTTCTAACATTTCTAATTTTACAAAATAGAAAAGTTTGGTAAAAAATAACCTTACTTTAGGACATAACCTCACTTTAATTTTGACGGATGACAGGCGACCAAAACAAAAATTTAAAAATAATCGTTTAATATAAACAAATATACATCAAGACTGAAACGACGTTGAGACCCTTGAGTGTGTACTGAACGACATAGTTTGTGACTGCGAGCCCACGTTTGGTTGGAACTGCAAAACACACATATAACCTAAAAGTCAAAATTTCCAACTTGTACCAACCCACCGTTTTCATTCGATAAATGTGATCTAGAGCGTGCGGCAATAAAGGCCTCATCGAATTAATTTCCATCATGGTTAGGTTATCAACAGCTGCGTACATTTCGTGGTTTTTAACCAACAAATCTATGGAGGATCTAAGTTTTGACATTCGGATGTCCCAGATGTCTTTCACAATAGTACGAATTTCATCGGCACGTGGAATATCATCAGAAGCGCAACCTAGTAATTGTTTCACTTCCACCATATAGAACTCACTTGGCATTTTGGTGAAAACTCTGGAAACCAGGATGTAGTGACTCAAATTGGTGTGTAATGCACAAACCTAGACAATTTTTCGTCTGTTTTAATCAATTCGAGAGTGTCAACGTCCATCCATTCGGGTGGTTGAATTCTACACCTTTTTTGTTGTTTTAAGTTGACGGCGACCCACAATGGGACTCTAATGGGAAGACCCGCCCGAAATGGCCCATAGTCACCTTGTATTAAATGGACGGATTCACTGGTAAAAGATGGAACAATTGACACTAGGTGTTTCTCTCCTAAAAATTCCACTTCTTCAGGGTCCATTGCATGTGTGTTTATAACCTAAGTGAGTGACAGTAAAATTGGCGCCAAAACCACCAGTTGATGGTGCGCACTCGCAAAAATATCCTATTCTATTTGAATTTACAATTATTTCTACGACACTAATTTGCAATAAGTGTGAAGACACCCATTGTTTTATTCCGCTTTCTTAACATACTGAATCGAACGCGAATACTTATTATAATTCGGATCCTTCTTAACGTGGTAGTTAAAGTGAATAATTTCTGCCACTAGTGCAGCAACACTGATGAAATATCCGATACTCAAAGCAACTAAAGCACCAAAAAGCTTCTTCATACTCATTATAGCTTTGCTTTCTTCAGGTGTTCTTTGAACCTCTGCGTTTAAAATAGGCGACATTACATCATCTAGCCATTTTTTGATCAAACCGGCTTCCAAAACACGTCTTATATATTTATCAACCCTCGGTTTTATTGGCGAATTCTTTTGCAACCCTGTAAGCATTTTAATAAAAAATTAACACTTCTTGGAGTATTTGCGTACCAATCGAAATCGGCATCTTAATCACACAATCCGTCATTATATGTAAATTTCGGTCCTCTTTCGCAATATCCTTCATTTCTTGCGACTGGTTAGAAGCCGAACTTACCCTCGACATTTGAAATCGCAATTGCCTCTTCACCAACGCCTCCTTAAGGAAATAACTGTTTTCATAAAATGCGAAGACCCCTTGTGCCACTTTATCGACTGCCTCGTTCGAATCGTTAACGACTTCGAAATTCTCTCCAATGAGTTTGGTGGAAGGATCGAGAGACATTTTGAAGAACTCACGGTTGACCTCGCCCCAACCGCCGCATTTTAATCGACTGTTGATTAGTTCTTGTAATGTGTTGATTGTTACCCTGAAAAGTACCATCAGTTGAGAAAATGGAGGGTGAAGTCGTACCGGGGAGTCGGGCTGGCTAGAATAGCGGTCATACTAGCCCTGTAGGCTACGACTAAGAGAAGGGAATACAACCAGTACCATCCCGTGAGCATGCGCAAAGACCATCCAGTCGGTAGTTTAGGGAGAGATACTAGTAGTAGCATACTATAAGTGTACAACATACTATTGAAGGGTCTACTGAACTGGTATAACCCCACAGCCTCCCCTTCCGGCTTCGGGGGGTTGTACTTTTCCTTCATTAGGGTATACTTGACATTAGGGTCGAGTTTCTCCAAATCCGGACACATAGACAAGGTTATTATCTTCCGTTTCTTACTCAACGGGTCTACGTTTTTTGTTTTTTCTTTAATTCTGCTAATAGTTTCGTGGAAGCGTGCCAATGCATAGAAAACGCCGCCGCTGATAAGCAAACACACGATAACAGCAGCCCACATAGAAGGCCTACAATATCACATTTAGTAAAAGTGGAAGACATCTCGTTCTACTTAAATGGGAGAATTAAAGTCTTCCACGAGTTGTCAGTGAGCGACTCTGGAGTCAGAAAAGTCAAACACTCCGTGTTATACGGGACACTTAAATCCATTAACTCTAGAAAATACGGGGTATAGTACAAATCTCCCAAGGCTATATCGGCACTAGTGCCGACCATCTCGCCAATCAACCCCGTATACTTCCCCGACGCTTGTTTTCCGCCCCACATCTGAGCATTAGCGTTTACCGGTTCGTACATCTCGCACCGGAAGTTCATAGCAGCGGAAACGGTTTGCAAGATCTAAAAACAACCCTCACTAACTTTCAAGCTTTTCCCCTAAATTACCTCGACTTCCGCCCCGGAAAAGTTCCCAAGCACCGCTCTAACTGTGTTTGTTTGTAAATTTTTCGTAGTCCCTGGGATGTGGCTAAAAGCTGCAACTTTGAGAGTTTGGTTACGTAAATCGGACGTTTTGTCTCTGAATAAATCCACCCCTTTGCGAAATTTAGATTTCGTCCAGATATCTAACCTTCTCGGGACGAGGACCGAAGTGATTTGGGACGGGAAAGGCACTGTTGTTATTTCAAACCAAGGGATGCTTTGCCCGGACCTTTCGCCACCGTATCGCCTGATAAAAATCACGTTGATTATGCGTTTCCAGATGTAGAACAGGCTTTTGTCGAACAAGCGGTTGTCGTAGCTGATGATGAACTTCGCTCGGGTGTTGATTACTCTGTATCTGTCGCCGAAACGCAGCAACCGCGCCACTTGTAACCCGTTGGACACTAAAATTATGTACATTTGACAACCTTCGTTCTTTGCGGTGGTTAATGCGGATTTGGTTTCGTCGGACGGGGAGAGGAGGTCTTCGTATTCGTCTACATTTAGCACGATAAACGTAATATAAGGACCAAATCTACGGAACCAAGATTTCGAAAATGTTCCGCTGTAGATGTCATCGCTTAATAAGACGACGCATTTGTACGGAAGTAAATTTTTCACCATTATTTCTTCCAGCAGCAGGCGGAAATTATCGTCATTTTGCTCTTCGTCGTCGTGTAAAATTGATTTAAGCCTGAAAAGACGAGCATTTAAAGTTTTCTGGAAGATGAATTCGTACCCGTTTTGAGTTGAATAAGCGACGAAAACAAGTATCGCAACTACTTTCAAGTGCATCGCTTCGGTTTTAATGTTCTAGAGCTTGAAGCGTTTCCCATGTAAATTGAGTGTGAATATTTTATGCGCGTCTTCCTGAAAAGGGTAATAGGCATTTATCGAATAAAAAATGCTTCCGAAAGGGTTCGCTCCATCAGGAAACACCAACTGACAATAATTTCTCGTTTAACAATTTACTTGTTGGCGAGTGAATCCTGGTCACGGCACCAAAATAAGTATAAAGTCGTGCTATCTACGAATCTCTTCAATAAAACACCCCCGAAATAAATATAAACTATATTTAAAACCATCCGTATCAAAAATATTACAATTCAACATGTACATCTGCACCTTTCATATCCTCCTCAGCGAACCACTTATCGTACACTCCAATGGGATCAATCATCCAGTGCTTATGGAAAGACACCGCATCCTTCGTAAGCAAATACTGCGGAGGATAATCGATTGGTCTCGCCTGAAAAATTTAAATAAACCCCAACTCGTCCACAACACTGCCGTTTACCTGATGGAAGAGCGGAGAATGAGTTACGCTCACCCCCAAACTGGCAATACATAACCCTAAAAACATATCATCGGGAGCACTTATTGACGGACATTCGCAAACCCCAGGACGCGTTAGTTGTTTCAAGAGAGCTCGACTGAACACCATCCCGCCGCCACCGGTTATGTAATTGTACCCTCTAGCAGAGTGAACATTGTAGCCGTATCTTTCCCCCAAAGCCACCAGTTTGGTGGCGTTGTAGCAAGTTAAAAGTTGCTGAATTCTGGAAACTCTAAAGGATGAAAGAGTTAAGAGTTGAGGGATGATCCACCCTACCCGAGAATTGTATCGTCGTCCGCCACCACGACCCACTGGACCCGGGGGTGGTGCTTGAGCTTGTCGTGGATGTGGTGGAGAATGGCGATGGTTTTGGCACAGTGACCTTGCTCGGTGTTGGGGATGCCCAGGTTGATGGTGGGGATCGAAACGTCTAGCAACTATCGTTATAAATTTGGCTAAAGTGGTATCACCGTACCTACCTGCCTCGTCACTAAAGAACTCAACATTGGACGCATATTGCGCCCACGTTTTTTTTACGACGGGAACCCTTTCTTTGTGGTACTTTTCGCAAGTTTTTACGGCAAAATAAATTGAGTCTTTTTCCACTAACGCACCCTTCGGAAACGTGAAGTCAGTACAGAGTGGTATCAAGAAACTAACTTACGCAAGGTTGGAATGTGAGTGGATAAGAAGCACAATTGTTGTTGTCTTGTTGGATACAAAAGGCGTTGTCGTTCGTTAGTACTTCACCTTTACCTTTATCCCAAATAAATAAAGCTAATTCGTGTGAACTGTCAATCTCGAAATCGGAATGAGGGGTGGCTGGGTGTCTCAATCTTTCGGCTAACCTAAATGGGATTATTAATTAACGAACGGAGACCTAACTGGGCTGACCTTTGCAGTAAATTGGTACTAATAGCTATCCCTGAACCCAGATTCGGAAACTTGAACTTTTGCGGATCCTCATAGAACGCAAAATGGTGAATTATTGTCGCTTCGTTGTCGTGAAGAGCATGTCCCAGCCACACCGCCTGCACCCAAATTAAAAATCGATGATTTAAAATTGGAACTGTCACGTCGAAGTTAAATATACACAATCGATGCACTGTACCTTACTCGGGTCGTACTCATTCAGCACCTCGCTTAAAACCCCCAAATTAACTCTAGTTCTGTCTTCAACAAAAAACACCCATGACGAATTCTCCCCATGTAAATCGTGCAACTTTTCAACCAAAGGAAGCACAGTCCAATGTCCCACATGCGGAAAATCCCTATGCGAGAGATGCACTATCGGTTTTCCCTGTAAATAATTCCCTCAACAAAACCAACAAAACAACCTCCTGAATTTCCACCGGATCATTGCTTCTTATCTGAAATCGTAATCGAAAGTTCTCGTTTGGAAACAAACGGTTTCCGCATTCAATTTAGCACGAAACGAATAATTCACCAACTATCGTAAATCGTACATTAAAACGGGCATAATTAAGTTGCATCGATCCGGAGGGTGCTAAAAAATTAAGAGCGAATTAAAGTGGACTCACTTGTTGGAGGGCTTCGGCTTGTTGTTCTATGTCGTTCTTTAAATTTTCAGCGAGTTTCAGGTGGTGCTCGTTCGGTTGGCTTAATATGATTATGACGACGTCTTTGATGCCTGGAAGGAGAAATGGACGACGAATAAATAAGAGGAACAGATCTGACACGGAGTGTTCGGAACGGGTGATTTTATTCAGCCGGCTTCTGTCATAAACGTCTGGAGAGGATAATAGACCGTTGTGTGCGCTAGAATTAACGACTCTATAAAGTTTAATATCTCATAATGGCATTAATTAAAACGTCTACGTAAAAATATTTTAAATCCGATTAAAACTGGGCTGGAGCGAAGCTCGAGACACTTAAAAATAGCATAATTATTTTGAGTGAAACGAACAATTAAGTATATGCGTAACATAAATAGGGATCTTGAGGGTACGAACATCGTAAAATTTACGAGCAAATTCAAACAAGTCTCGAAATAGTGGTTACACAACCGGTTAATTTAATTAGCTTTTTGTCGCCATAATTTTCCACTTGGGATTCGACTAAATTCTGCAAACATGCAGTAGCATATAATTCACGATGAACATGGCACGAACAACAATTCCGAAGCGGTAACTACAAATTATTTCTTCACTCTGTGCAACTGTTGGATTACTTTGTTAAATATTGGTTTAGTCGCCCGAAAAAGAATTATAATTGCAATTCGATATAGTAGGGAGAAAGCTTACGATTCATATCGCGCCTCAATCATGAAATTCCGAACAATAAAAATGGTAAACTGAATCGTAAAGTTTGAATAAAATTCCTAAGCTATTCGGTTAGAATAAATCTGTTTCGTATTCATGTACTATTTCTGGAAACTATGCGCGTCAGTAAGGTAAAAGCACGTTGATATTCTGAATGGTTACGGAACGTACAGGATGTTTCACTGCAAATGGTACAATTCGAATTTATACTTTAAAGTCAAATAAGTTTTCACTTTTCAATAATACATTATTAGAAATTTTCGTTTTTTCCGAGTTTGCTCTACCCCGCTAGATTGAGTTCCGTTGAAGCCTCAACTCTGGCGCAAATCTAATAAGCAGGTTTATGATCGACGCTCCCTTTTTCCCCTATAATTGATTGATCCTATTGTTGGAAGAATAGGCCGTCATTATCAATTGTTCGACGTGGCCGTCTACAAACCGGGAACGAATTCAATACCGCCAATTTACTAAATCACATCACGTACTTTATAATCCGAGGTTGGACCGTCGATGATCCGGTAACTAGCCCGGAGCGAGAACCGGAGCATGAGTTCGCCTTCCCTTTATATACACGGGGTTTTAGATGAGAAACTCGCGGAAGAAGTTTGTTTGCGGTGTGATTTATCTTACGTCTGACTCGTTTCCGCTCCGCTAAGTTCCGGTTCTAACGAGCCAACGACAGGGCTTTTTAAACCGAACTTATTTAATTAGACGGATTGATAAACCAATAGTGAACCTTTCCAATTCTGGAGAGCGCGAAACGTGAGATTACACCCGGCCACAAAGAAGTTGCAGAGACGTCTTTAAAATGGTAACGTTCACGTTATCAGTGTACTCTCTAACAAAAGAAATGGCGTGCAAATAATTATTTCGCTAATTTAAGCCCGTGCCAAAAAAGTTTGAATTTTGTTGCGAGTGTTATTTGTTTTTCATTGATCCGGGGTAATCCATGGAAATGGGTATCGCTACGGGTAAATGAAATTTTGTTTAAATGTGGAATAAATGGCAACATTTTTCCAGCCAGATGTATACAATTTGTTGTTGCATCATCCAGGCTTTAATCAAGCCTCGATCATTTTTTACTCACCGTCTTAGAGCAGTGTCTTGTTCCAGGCTGGAGCAACGTTTTGATCATACAAGGGGTAATTTATCATTAGAGAGTTGCAAGAGATGTTCGCAGAGGCACATAATGGATGACGGCTAATTAATAAAGCAACTAGCAATTTTTGTTTCTTTTGATCTATTAGACTGCGGAAAAGTTGTGACGGTTAATTTGTTAGAGCTGGTGTGTTTTCGACTTAGGGGTGTTGTTGGCTGAATGATGGCCTGTGGTGATTGCACGAAGCGGGAGATTTCTTGTCGTAGGAACAGCCTTAAGAGAATGGCACGACGCGAGATAGAAAACACTTAATTAGTCACGTTTGCACTTGGAAGTGCACCGAACCGGAAACGACTTATTTGGGGAAGTTGCCATATTCCAAATTGTTTAAGTAGATTAGAGAATCTGGTGACGAAGATTCGATGTTAATATGCATTGTGGTCCAAAGTCTCACAATTCTAAAAAAAAGGTGGTATAAGGTTATTTAATGCGTCACAATGGTGTGTATAATTGGTTAACGCAGGCCACAAAGCCGCCCCGAAAAAAGAGAAAAAGATCTCCACCCGTCCGTCATCCACCACCTTATTAAATTTCCATCCGTCCGTAGAAAGATTTTAAATTTAAATCCCTTCGATTTTCGTGTGGGTTCTCCCTTTCAGAATCCCTAAATACTCGAAATGCAAGAGAATAATTAAACGGAAAAGTAAACTGCATAGTAAAGCAGGTGAGAAAACACACTCCATTCCGGAACAAACTTCAAAGCACCCCATAAATTCCCCTATAACGAATTTCTTTCAGTTGTTAGTCGACGAAAGTCGTAATTTGCGCCACCACAACTTGGGAATGATACTCTGCGATACAACTCGAGTGCAATATATTTGGAAAGGTTGGAAGTACAATTCCGTGCGGTATCAAGAGTCGAATATAATTTTCTCTGGCCGATATCTCGATTCCTTAACTCGGCTCGAAAGTCGTGCAGCTCCTGGCTCTTTATCTATTTCCAATAGCTGTTCTGCATGCACCTTGCCACACGATTCCCCGATGATCTGGAGGAAGCCGGGGGTAATATAAATGTGTAATGCGGCCATATGCCGGGAATGAGTCAAATACGCAGTGGGAAGCTGCGAGGTCAGGCCGAATTGAGTCCAGAATTAAGGTAAGAAGGAATAAAATGCCGCCAGCACGAACTAGTCGGGCACACTGTCATTTGCATACAATATATTCTCCAAGGTCGTCCAAAGCATAAAGCTTCAGTTTACAAAATACGCACATTGAATGACAGTTATAAAGTTTCGGGCAAAAATATTCACTTGTTAGAATACCAAATAATTCATTTTAATTCCGAGTTGTAGCCTGTCTTGTGTTTCTATTCACGTACGGCTAAAGCGTATTAACTAATTAGTAAGATTAAGTTAAAATATAAAAGGCTTTACATTTGCAATGTTGCTAGACAAAATTAGTTACGAAAACTTAAAACGCTCGTCAACAACACAAGCAGCTACTTAAATCCATGTAAAAAATTACATATTATAAATTAAGAGCAACGTGTATAATAGAAACTCTTTCTTCCTCTTATGCTGTCATATATTAAGTTGTTATATGACGTAAATGAAATCACCAATTTCAAAAATATGTATAAGGTCCAGAATTGCAAGCATCAATTTCTCCGCTATTTGAAACAAGCGATGATCAAACTTCTGTCATTGCAATTAATTTATGCCCTCTAGCGCCACGTTTGTCGATAATCTCTCCATTTGCAGCAACATGTCCTTAAAAAAGCAAAACAAAATCTGTTTGCCCTCGCAGCGAAATCCTCCACCCACCGCCGAATGTGCGGCGATAAACAACAAATCATCGTTTGGAAAATCGTGCGAAATCCCACTCCTGACGTGTCGTCGTCCCATTTGACAATCCCCGCACGTGACTTGTCGTCATGCCATGTCACGGCAATCTCCGATCCGAAACGTTGGCCGTTTAAGGTCATTTCTTCGTATTTTTACGACGATTCGAAACGTTTCCGTTTTATTCCCGACATTTATTGGCCGGTAAATCCACGACTTGTTAACTTTATGACGGCTGTTTTAACGGCGGGACGCAAGGTGGCGCGATTTTCTAATTAAGCATTCCGAGGAAGTGCGCGCTGCCTTAAGTACTCGCCGAGAAAAACGAGGATAAACAAGGATCTGTTCACATTTGTGAACTAAATAAGGTTGGAGCTGGTTTTAGGGTGTGTTAATTTGAAAAATTTCTAGCGGAGTATCGTTTCGGTGCAACTGTCATGCACGAGATAAAATCGATGGGAAAGTTGAAACAAGAAGTGCGAAACTCGTGGACGTGACATGAACAGGGTTTGCACTCGATGTTTTTTAGTACGAGGAAGGAAATTTCGATGGGATGTTTGATCCAATTAGGGTGTTTTAGGATTTCTAAAGGAAAGCATTTTAAAGAAAATGCTAAAACAAGAAAAAGGCTAGTAATGAAGTCGTGATTATTTCTTTGCTTCGTTTAAGCTTCAGAACGAACTCATTAATGATTTAAGTATCATCGACTCGAGGTTTTGCAATTACAGAGGGATTTAAGAAGTACATAACAAACTCTGCAAACTAGAAATCGCACGGGATGAGGAATCGTATCCGACTGGTGGTGGATTGGATTTTTTTGCCTGTGAATATTAAAACATAAAAATTACTACTCCGTTGCTAACAAATTATATTTTCACAAATGCAGAGCGTGAATTATGAATAACGAAAATTCCGACATTGTATACCATACAATAGTACGCCATCTTGAAAAAATGGCGTATGACACTCGCTATAAACTGACATAGGGATTAGAAAATCTAATGAATTTACCGTTACTTCATCTGTTTTCTGTTAAATTATGGGTAAAGTAATTGTTATTAAGAAAGCACTGTTGCTCTCTTCCTCCGTCTCTTTCCTGTTTGCTATGCACAAAGCAACTATCATCTTGCATTCTGTTCTATTCTATTTATAAGGTTCTCTGAATTCGCAATTTGAATGTAGACGTCAGTATTCAACGTAATGCATGACATTAACGGTAATAATAGACCACATTTTAGTTTACAACTGAAAATATTCGGTAATATTGTCCTTAGGTATGCGAACAAGTTCAGGTTAATGCAATTATTTCTTGTTTTTTAAATGTAATGTTTAGAATTAGATCAAACCAAGCACCAAAATAATTTTATAAAATTTACGAGGTCCGAAAAACTCACGTAGTTTTTGTTTTTAGGATATGGCTGCTAAAAATAAGAAAATGGGCAAGGAATTTAAAAAAGCAAGAAAAATTATGAACTAATACAAACATCTTATAAAATCGAAACGAAACTAATTAAAAAAAATGCAAATATAGTTTTTATTTTTTATTCTAAAAATAAGAAAAAAATAAACATAAGTGAAATTTACTTTTTTTATCAACTACCTAACTTTTTGTCTAGTTTTTATGATTTCGTTAATACAACAGGTCTGCGACTATATGAAAATTAATCTTAAATTAGGCCTTTTAATATATGTATGTTCCAAAAAAAAAATGTTTTGGAGCACATTTGGAACGTTCTTTTGTCTTTATTATTAAAGTGAAGCATTGCCGCTTCTAAGTTTTAGGGCACCAACTATTTATAAAATTATATTCTGCTGACTTAACAGTAAAAATTTTAAATCAAAGATTTATATTCAAGTTTAGAACGAACGTCTATAAATCCCATTTTATGTTACTGAATCACATGAATTTTTCTAGAAGAGATGGATGAATAAATTTTAGTAGATGTTGTGTAAGCCTTGGAACAAGATTTTTTTGTACTATATATTTTTTTACTCAAAACAACAAACGAGAAACAGAAAGCCACATTTTTGTATTCTACAAGCTGCACAATCCGGGTACATTATAAAAGAACAAAATTGAAAAAGCGTCGTTTGTTAATTTTATATTTTAAAGTTTACACCGCCACTGTTTTGTTTCATCAATTTAAATATGACACTTAGAAAAAAATAAAAATACAATTACTTCCGACTAGATTTAAAAAAAAAAAAAAAGGCGTCCAGCGAATAACTATTCCTACTAAGTAAAAAAATATTTCTCCAAAATAAAGCCATCTCCTCTAATCCCCACAGTAAAACCTCCCCATTACATTTCCTTTTATCCCCCGGCAATAACAGCCCCATTCTCCTCCATAAGCCGACAATAAACATTTATTTTTTCATACAATAACGCCACAACCGCAATAAAGTAAAAGAAAAAAAATAAATAAAGCAATCACTTACCTAACCCCCAGACAGTGCCAAAAAACAGTAAAAAGATGACAACCGTCTCCATTTTAACCCTAAAAACGTAACATTATCTTCAGTAAAATGCCCTTAATTCAAACTTTTACGGATAAAACGCGCGACTTGAATGAGAAACTCTGGGAAATGTTATCACGCGCAACCCTCTTAAGGGCAAAGAAAACGCTTGCGCGCACTCTGTATTTTTTATTTGGCTTTATAAATTATTAACTTACGATAAAATGCAATTGATTTCTCATTAGGAACCGCAGGGTTTTGAGAAAAAACACTTGCGAAGGTGTCCCGGGGGAAAACACCCAAAACCGAAAGCAAACAAGTGGGAGACATAAACATAACCTCAAAGTTCCCGAGATTTGTTCGCTGGAAATACTTACATTTGTGCGTCGTTGGACAACTGGAGATGTTAAAGGCGATACAAATTTTTTTGGAGCGTAGCAGTTTTATAATTAAATGCCATGACGATTTTTGTTTGTAAATTAAACACAACAAAATAAACACAAGTGAAGAATGTCAAATTTTTCCAAGAATGTTCAATGTAGCGCCATCTATAAGTGAAATTTTGTGGTTGTTTCAAAGTCGTTACAGGTTTCTGTACTCACTACTGTCAAAATGTAATTAATTGAATATAATTAAAACGTCTGCCAAGTAGACAACCAATAAATCACATTTTAAATAAGAATACGTATATACATTATTGTATTTATATACAAGACGGCAAATTTTGATCACGACACTGTATTTTTCTTGAAATATTTAATCGAAAGAAGACGAATCTTCGAAACTAGGTAAATCGGTTTTTTCCGCGCCAAATGTCAACAGTCAATATGTCGGGTCATTGAAATGGAAATTTAGATTGAGATAAACATTCGAGATCGAAAAACTTTTACCACTTATGTGTGTAAACAGGTTATTTGAATATTTAATAACTCAACTCTATTAATTTCGTTGCTCCGTTTTTTTTTATCATAGACGTATGCGGAACTGCAAGTGAACAAAAAAATTAATTTCGTCTTTGTCTTGCGATGGATTCTTTACTACTGTAGGGGTCGTTCAACACACAGCACTTTTTTAACGCATTTTAACCTGTTTTTCCAACTAGATTTAAAAAGCAAGTATTTCAAGGTTTTTACCCTGTTTTTCAAGCCTAAAAAGTTTAATTTTAAGTGTTTTGTCCTCTTTTTAAAGAATATTAAAAAAGTTACAAGTTACATGTTTTAAGTCATTTCTAGCTATATTTTAAGTTTGTATTATATGTACCTGATGAAATTAACATTATTAGGTCCACAATTATAAAACTAAAAATATGAATACATTTTGGGTTGTTTGGCCTGTTGTAAACATCAATTCTAGATACTGAATTTTCAAGAATTTTGACCGGTTTGTAAAAATCTTCAAAAAATTGGTCGAAGGTTAAACGAATATAAATAAATAATACCAGTAACAGTATAAGAAACTAAATGACATCCTATAAATGGGTGGCGCTTTTGTCGGGAGGCGGTGTGCTCGGGCGCCAGCTCCCTTTCCGGAGAGGGAGCACCTGGGTTGCTCTAAAGCCGGAGATGCGGATCTTCAGAAGGTCTCCTGAGGGGCTAAATAAAAAACTTATAAACTTCAAACACAAACTGAGGAAAAAAACAGATCATGATCGTTCCGGGGTCCCCAGTGACGGCTTCCCGAGTCCTGTGGGGGCAGCGACTCCGGAACGGGACACGGATAGTGAACGCAAGTTCCAATTCGGTACCTACGTACCTCGGGACTGTGGTCGATTTGGAACTTGCACTTTCGGTTTACACAATCTCTCCCAAAATCTCCTAATTTTCCAAGCACTCTCTCCCAGCACCTGTGCGAAGTCTCACTTCTTGAATAAAGGCGGTTTTCCCGGTCGTGTCGGCGCGGTGGTCGCGAATTCACTCCCGGGTTTCGGTACTCATTTCCCTGTTTCCGGCCTGCGAAAATTCGCTTCATACAGTAGTTTCTTTGATCTAGATTTCTCAATGGAGCATTCTCTCATTAGGGTCTCGAAAACATAATTAAACTGTAAAAAAATCTCTATCTGTTCGATGAAAGTTACTGATTTATTGCCGCCATAAAAGAGACAAGTTGCAAAAGGAAAAAAGACTGCATTATTTCGTGTTGTGCGTTTTCGCCAAACTGGTGTGATAAGAGGAGAGGGATATTTGGGGCAGGAGTGGAGGTAGTGGATAAGAATAACTCTTTAAAAAGACAGAGTTTTAAGTTTGCTGCTAACTACCAACAAAGCTTTGATTTAATCTGCATTTAGGAATTTCAGCTGATCTGTAGAAATCGTGTGACTGTATTTTTTACGTTTGCTTTTTTGTTTCGAGATTTTTTAAATAGTTTTAAACTTGTAGACTGAACTAATTAATGTAAAGTGTACCGTAATGCATTTTTAAGTCTAAGTTTGCACAAATCTTGATGAAAGAAATCTAAACGCCAGACTGTAATTTGCAAATGACTTCCCTGTTCATCAAATTAATAGAACACCAAACAAGGAAGGGAATTAGCTTAATGTGTTTAAATTGTGTGCCTTTTAGTTAATTATTTGAAACTGGAACACCTTTAAGAATTAACGTTTGATTTATTTTATAGTTGTTTTTTCAAGTGCTTCCTTCTAAAGATTTATTGAAAAAAGAACAAGTTCACAAAAGTCTTCTATCTCAGTAATACGTCCGAAAACTGATTTTTGCTTGGTTCTTAATTTTTAGATTAACAGGTTTAGAAACGTTGAACTCTCGCATGTATAGAGTTACATAATAAATAATACCTGAGTAATATTTCTTCGAAGTTAGAAATTATTAACTACTCATATCGCAATAATTCCGCCAGAGTCTCAGTGATTCTTTTAAAATTATATTACGCATAATTTATAGTTAAGCCCTCAATATTATTAATTTTCTGAAATTTGGAAGCAACCTAGTAACAGGGGACACATTAAATGTAATATGTTCGTCCCTACCAAAAACCTGATGACGTCATTTCAAAAAATTAATCGGTAAGTGTAGTTTAGCGCTCCAGGTGCATGCGATTGTACTTCAAAGGCGACGAAAGTCCGGTGAAAATACCTTTGCAGATTTTTTCTGCCGCGTTTTTGGTTTACTTGGTCATTTCTGGGTTACGTTATAATAGTTTTACAATAGAAAGCTATTTGCTATCTAAAAATCTAGATGTGTGTATTTGGTACAAGGCATATGGTAAAATAAACCAAAAAATGTACGAAAAACCACACACGATCAAAGTAAAGATCCGCCACACAATCATCATCAATAACCAAAGTAAAAGTAAATCCGCATATATTTTTTACTCTCAATTTTTTACAGTTGTAATGAGTTTCTCGTTCCTCAAGTGAACCGGTCCTAGTCCAAACCGCCGGAATTTTCCTCCAATAAACAATATTTCCTCCACATCCTCTCAATCTCCATATTGGGTCACGATACATAAAAGAATAATTGCACTATAAAAATACCAGTCGCGTCTAAAAAATGCAGCCGCCTTTGGCAAACTCCGATGAAGAATGAAAGAGACCAGAAGAGAGAACGGCCCTCCGGCTCAGACTGGACCACTTGACGAGAAACTCCGGCCAAGAGTGCGCCGACCGGTGGGCCCACTCCCCGCACACGTCACCCACCACCGCCGCCAACCCCGCAGCCGCCCCCGTCCCTAACCACCCCGACCCCCTAAAACGCTAAAACAACATCGGTCCCGCGGCCGCTCCCGGCGGTGCACCTCCGGCGTCCGATGGTCTCACCTTCCTCGCCTAGCACCTACCTCTGCGGAAGTGTGTCAGTGTGTCGCTCTTGTGTTGGATCTCCAGCCGGCAGCATCTTCTTCTGTCGGCTTATTCATGTCTTTGCTGCCGCGAGATGCGGGACTCCGGCGACCGTATACGCAGGGAGCGCACCTCCCCCACGAGTCCGCGGATGGTCCTGCGGCGAGTGCTGGTGCTATCCGAGGGGCGGCAGTTCCGGGAGGCGGCGGCCGTGCTCCAGAAGCTCAACTGCAACAGCGTCGCGGCGGTGGCGGCGGACCTGCCCCTGGATTTTCTGGCTGAGGGGCTGCCGCATTCGGCGCAGCTGCTGGAGACGCTCTTCAATAAGTGAGTCGGGGTTGGGGTAAAATAACGAAAGTGACTTTTTTTGTATTTTTTTAACCGTATTTTTAAGGGGACTTTTTTTTTAATCAAATTACATAAGGGTATGACGATTTCGTGTTAGTGTCATGTACATACATGTATACACAGGGTGAGTGTGAAATATTTTTCGTGAAAAAAAAACAATTTCAAGAATAATGTAATAGCATTTTTTTTTCATTGTTAACAAAATTGGGCCCAATTTATAAAAAAAAAATATCGTTATGTAATCCGACTGCGTCTAGTTTCATAAGCTAAAGTTTCATTATTTGCAAGATTCAGTAGTATTTAGTAAAATAAAACTCGTTTCTATTTCTAATGAAACTGGAGATTTTGAAAATAAAAATTTCACGCTGTTGCAACATACCTCTTGTTGACAATGTTTTAACGGGTTTTTCTTATTTTTTTTTTAATAACGTCCTTTTTGGAATAAAAATCTTTGGGTTAGAATAAACTCAATTTTATAAAGTTCCAATATTTTCTGATATTCCAACCATGTATGTCAAACTTATAAAAACTGGAGCCTGAAAATTGACCCAAAAGTATCCAAAAGTTTCCGTCTGTCTGTCTGTCTGTCTGTCTGTTTGTCACGTAATGTACGAAACTGTCTCCTGTTTTAAGGCGACAAACTCATTCAAATCAAACAACGTGACATTCTTCCTTCTTAAAATTAATGCTTGTTATTACTGCTGAGAGGCGATTTTTCCCATTGGTTATCTGTTTTAAATATATTTTACATTGTCTTGAAATAGAAATCTTTGAGTTATCAAAAATTAAAGAATAAACTCAATTTTATAAAGTGCCAGTATTTTCTGATATTCCGACCATATATGTCAAACTTATAAAAACTGGAAATTGGTCCAAAAGTACCCAAAAGTTTCCGTCTCTCTCTCTCTCTCTCTCTGTCTGTATGTCACATAATCTCCGAAACTATCCCCTGTTTTAAGGGGACAAACTCATTCAAATCAAACAAATTTCCACGTGACATTCTTACTTCTTAAAATTAACGCTTATTATTATTGCTGAGAGGCCATTTTTTCCCGTTAGTTATCTGCCTTTTACATTGTCCGTACTTGTGCAATTTGCACAATCCCTTGCAATTTGCACCCCCAGAGCACAGGGGCTGCGGGGGTGTTATTTATGCCTCCGGTTTTTACTTTATAGAGGTTATCGCAAACGAAACATCGCAAAATCTAATTTTATAATTTTTCAAAGAAGCCGGATTTGTTAATCTTGTATCAGCTATAGACAAAACAACACTAGTGGTCAACTGTACACCACTGACTATATGATAATAACTTACTACGAATATAAACGCTTGAAACGCATGATTTCTGTTACTTCTAGGTTACAAAGAGCCAGTTTATAAAAATATGATTCAAAAAAACGTAAACCAAAAGAGCAATAATGCTAATACTAGTAACTTTGGAATGTTTTCATCATCCACCTGTTTGTTATTCAGGGAAGCAAGTGTTCACATTCGAGCCATTTTTTAAAGTAGTTGATAATAAAGGTACTTGTGCAAACCAAAAGTCGTAAACCAACCAATAAAACAGTTCTGCTTGATTAAAATGCTTCGGGGCGTCCTGTCGTTCACATAGCAACTCTATAAAAAACTGATTAATGCAGGGTTGGGCTTCAAATTAGTCCCAAAGGTTGCTTTTACTGTTTACCATTTCAGTATCTTTGCATTTAAATATATTTTATGCGTTATTTTACGAGCATCTGTGCAATTTCATGCTAGTTTATGATAGCTGTTACGACCAACCGTGTATGTATGTAGTAATATGCGACACCTATAAGCAACAATTGGTTTAATTTAGCATTGATTTAATTAACGCTAAGGTTACAACTTTTTTCGCTTGCCGAGCGCAAGCTAAGGTCTACTTTCATGTTTTTTCTGCGTTTAACTTTTATCTTAGAATTTACACAACTTTTATTAAGGCGCTAACACTGCATAAATTTGATGACGTCATCTGAAGAAATTATTAAATCAATTAATTATATAAAAGAAACTGGTCCCGCGCTAGATCGTAATACATGAGAAAGTATGACCACAACAAACACGCACCATCGGCTTCCAAGAATAAAACCATAATAAGCCTTGTATTTTCCCGTTTAATAAATTTCGCATTTTTGTGCCTACATAAATACGAAATACCATTCTAACACCTGCACGTGATAAAATCCCCGCAATTATCTAAAATTTTGAGTGTACGCCGCACAGTTACAACGGTAATTTCGTGCGTGAAAACGCCATGCAAATTGCCACAATTCCAAACAATAAAATTACAGTTGCCACTTCATCGCGGAATGCGTCTTATGAAAAAAACACAGCTAATTGGAAAAGACACGCAACGACAAACAAGTGACAAAAACTCCGTGAGCAAACAAAAAGATCATCATTCTTCATTTGGTGAGATTATGTGCGAAAAACTTTTGAATGGAGAGGAATTAAAGTTGATTATATAGTTTATTGGAGACGGGATGACGTTCCATTATTCTCCCATCTAAATCAAACACATCTTGATAAGTTAAATGGAATAACTTTTACTCGAAGTGTGCGGAGTGAACGTGCAATCGAGGATTTAGAAATCTGTAAAGTAACCGGAAGGTAAAGTCGTAAATTTTTTTCTATGGGTGGGATACGAAATTTTGACGGAATTTATGAAGGTGGCCAATGAAATGCGCTTTTAATTGCTGCTGAACTGTCTCATTAGGGATTGTTTTATGGAGGCGGAGAGGATTTCAGAAATGTGGAAGACGTCACTCTAATTTCAGGAAAGAAAGTTCTATTCTGTGACTTATTAATTCAAACGTCATCCTGATTCTCACATATTTTTTTTTTTATTATTAATCATGCATATTCATATTTTTGCCTATCTATTTTTAAAATAAGTGCTTTACTCAGCAATAAAATTTGTAAAAAAGCATTACTTATGTTTAGTACAGTGGAGGTATAATCACGTACGTGAACCCTAAAACAAAAAATAATAAATTCCAAAGCCAACTTTTCCGTAAACGTCAAATATAATTCAATTCCCACCACATCAGCATAATATTGACATAAATATCACAACTGTGTCTAACTTTTGCTCGAGACAAACCCGTCCATTTGATTTATGATCGCGTTTTCAGTCCAACCGTTACACTGAAACGAAGAGGAAACGATTTACTTTCTTCAGTTTCCTCTAATCATCGTCCAATATGATATATGACCTCAATCAATCAATAATAAACAAGTTATACCAGAACCGAATAGCAATATTTTTCAGTCGACTTGTTTTTTTTTAACCATCTGGCAGAAAGAAAAAATCCAAGGAACTTAAATAATTATAAATGTTCCACGGTTCAAAATCAGACTGCAACCGGCAATTATTTTTGAGTTAGGAGAAACTAGCGTTCTATAATTTTCACCTTTCGGAGTGATTGTTTGACGGAACGAAAAACAAAAAAATCAACCGAACGGTCTTGAAAGTTCGCATTTGGTGCCATTCGAGGGAATGGCGATAGAGATGTTAGAGCCCGGATGTAAAAAGACCGCATTTCAAGCATAAATTACTACTAATGATTGAATAATATTTTGAAATGTATGAGATAAGGGAGATGGATGTGGGAAGCCACGTTGAAGCGATGTGTTGAACATGCGTCAAATGTGCGTAATTTTTTTTTTTTGAAAAATGTGATCAATAAAAAAAAAGAATATTAAACATAATACAGGTTCCAAGAATCAAAATCGCCAGGTGGTCGACGGGTCCCATTGTGCCTCAGCCCGTTATTTTCACACACGTTGCGTCTGCTCCATCTCTCACAATTGTTTAATTTTACTGTTAATTCTCTGGATTCAAAATCAGCGTAGACGACACAGTTCTTACTCGATTTTACTTTCTAGGTTAATAACATCAGGTCAAAGGCCAAATATGAACGCAGAACAGGTGGTCTGGCAGTTGGTGAAGCTTTTCGCTTCACACGAAGACCCCACACTCAAAACTAAGGTGGCAAGACTGACTAGGATTTTGGTGGATTACCAGCCGGATTTTCACAGGATGTTGTCGACGAGGAAGAAGGCCCTCGAACATGCCATACAGGGTAACTTTCTCTGTTTCCGAAATCGATAGGTTTGTTTAAAGAGACACTTTCTCCCACGATTTAAATAAATGCTCATTAGACATTGCGTTAATAAAACTATTAGCACAGGTGCAATAATTAGAAAGTGTAGACTTATTGTGTTAGTGGGAAACGAAGTGTGGAGAAACTATTTCAAACAATGGGTGCAATTCAAGGCTCGAAGGAGTTGTTATGATTTACGAGCAATCCCTAATGAGTAACTCAAGATTTACCAATCGAGGAAAAAAATTCACTTACACCTAATGAAATAGTGTCTTTTTAGCGAACGACCGTGGAAAAAATATTTACAAACATTGTTTTGGCAGGTCTGGGATGCCACGGCTTGACTCCCGACGCTAGTGGCCTAACCCATCTCCACGTGGCCATAAAGGCCGAGCTCCACCGCCACATCGACGCCTACAAGAACGCCCTCCACCGCCTAGACGAACTCGGTCTAGCCGCGGCCAGCTCGAAAAAACCCGTAGATGCCTCACACCAAAGACTTCTTTCTCTGCATCATTCCGATGTCCAGCAGAGACTTATCGATAACAAGACTCTTCTCACCATCCTCGACAAACCCGACTTGAAGCAGTTGAGACCTTTGCTGGACACCTTATCCACTCGCGTCCAAAACGACAAAGAAGCCTTGTTTTGCGTATCGCAACTAAAGAGGTACGAATTCTCGATCAGTCAACGTCGGTTTTGCATTTCGAGGTTATTTTATAAAGTCTGTGCCCGACATCGAAACTGGCCCCTGAAAATATTGATCCTTGCAGGCTGCAGCCCACATGCGAGGAGAAACCTGTAGCTGCCCTCCTCATGTCGTTCGCCCGAGGTTGTGGCGCCCTCTTGGAGCTGATGCAAGCTTCCGAGAGTCCTTGCAGCAGCGACGGATACCACTCGGAGCCCGAGCAGGATAATGATCGAGGGTGAGCAAGATGTCGAGTTTTTTCGTAGACCGTTCCTTGTCTTTTTAAAGGGGAATTAATTATACATTTGTAATGTGGAAGTTAAAAGCGCTTCCGTTTCGTCATCGATTTTCATTTTGAATAATTTAATAAAGAGTCTCGCATGTCTTGTTAGTGGTACTTCTTGTCAGTTTAATCAGTGTAATTGCTATGATGTTGTCGAGTGAGTTCATTAGACGAACGGGTGGATTAAAAGCTCCGAATTGACGAATAAAATGTGGTCGACGTGGAGATGTCTAATTATGGCGTGGCACGCATGCTACATCCCTCACGAGAATTAATTAATTTGTAAATATGTGGAAAATGTAAATTATGTCCATGTTGGAAAGAGGCGGTTTATACAGGTGAATTTAAATGGGTGCTAATAAAGTCAGAATTAGAACTCAAACAATTGTCAACAAGCAATAAAACGCCGAACGTGAGTTTTACAAAGTGACTTATATTTACATATCAAAGCAAATTTTAGACGTGTAAAGGGGAAAAAAGCTAGGACACTTAAAAAATTTAATATCGTACGAACGAACAAACAACTGATTATTCAACACAGTACGGGGTGCAATAAAGTAACGAATAAAAGGCTATGAAAAAGGCGCAAACCGCTCATAAGACACCTTAATATCTGCGTTTGCAGAAATTAAATGCTTAAATTACTTGATATTACTACGTTATGAACTTAGCACCCATCAAAAATGTCAAATGGAAATTATTTTGTACATAAAAATATAAATAAAATTTTTACGATGTATTTGGTGTTCAAAGGTTACAAAAAAGCTCGCAGAGTTCGGAATTGTTCAGAGAAAGACTACCTAAATTTTGATAAAACAAGAAGAGCTCCACTTTTCATGAATATTAAAATCGATATTAAAAAATTCTCTGCGAAAGCGCTTTATTTTTTGGACAACGTATTTCAGACTAAATTACAAAGGACCTATGCATGAATGTAAGCAACTACGCATTAACTTTTTTTCAGTAAAGATTTAAAATCGTATTAATATTGTAAGCAGTTATTTAAATATAATTATCAGTTTTAAATAGTGAGATTCTAATTAAGTATTATAATTTTACCTGTTTGTCCAATTATGTAAATGATATGTTTCTGAGCTGTCAACAAACACGATTATTGTTGAAAAGACGAGAATTAACTGAGTACATTCACAGAAAAACTGGTTACTTTGCATAAAGTGGTTCTTACTTTGCAAATTACTTCAGCCTAATACGTTTAACAAAAAATTCAAAAAAGTTTTTTGTACGGTATGTAAAATCTTTATCCTGGAAATGTCGAATTTTTGTTACAACCATAAATTTTAGAAATACTCGTTTTGAAACTCATTTTATTTTTGATCCATATGGCAACAACTTTTAGGATTATTGAAATATTTCAATCTACAAGAAAATGTCTTTAGTTAGGTTTCGAAAGTGGCCGAAATTTTCATAAGGGAGTGGTATAGAAAAATTTTGAAAAAGTTGCCTAAAAATTCACAACAAATTCTGGGATATCAATTTTTAACGTGCTGATTCCAAAAATGTAGCGTGTTGATGGTCCCGGGATAAAATTTTAGAAATATTCAGTTTGAAATTTAATATTTTCGAAAAATAATTGCAAGAATTGCCATTTTTCAATGAGCGATTCTGGAAAAAATGATATAAGTTATCGAAGAAATGAGGCCGAAAGTAACTTTTGGAGGTCGAAATCTATAAGAAAATGTTCTTAGTTAAGTTTCAAAGGAGGTTGAAAAATGGGTGAAATTTTCACAATTTTCATTTATAGAAAAATTTCTAATTTAAAAAAGTTGCCTAAAAATTCCCAAAAAATTCTGGGAAACAAATTTTAACGTAATGATTCCAAAAAAATAGCGTGTTGATGATCCCGGGGCAAAATTTTAGAAATATTCAAGTTAAAAATCAATACTTTCTAAAAATCGTAAAACTGCCATTTTTTAATAGACGATTCTGGAAGAATTGTAGGAGTTATCGAAGAAATGACGCTAAAAGAAATTTCTGAGGTCGAAATCTACAAGAAAATGTCTCTGGTTAAGTTTTGAAGGTGGTAGAAAAATGGCAGAAATTTTCATAAGGGGGTTGAGATGCCTAAAAATTCCTAAAAAGATCTGGGAAACAAATTTTAAAGTGTTGATTCCAAAAATATATTGTGTTAATGATGCTAGGGCAAAATTTTAGAAATATTCAATTTGAAATTTAATATTTTCTAAAAATCGTAAAAATTGCCATTTTTCAATGGGCAATTCCAGAAAAATAGGAGTTATCGAAGAAATGAGGGTGATAGAAATTTTTGGAGGTCGAAATCTACAAGAAAATGTCTTTAGTTAAGTTTAGAAGGTGGTCAAAAAATTACCGACATTTTCATAAGCTACAGAAAAATTCCGATTTTGAAAAAGTTGCCTAAAAATTTCCAAAAATTCTGAGAACCAGATTTTAACGTGCGGACTCCAAAAATATAGCGTGTTATGTTAATGGTTCAAAGGTAAAATTTTAGAAATATTCAGTTTGAAATTCAGTATGTATCATCTAAAAATCGAAAAAATTGCCATTTTTTAATGCGTGATTCTGGAAAAATGCTAGGAGTTATCGAAGAACTGAGGCCGAAAGTAACTTCTGGAGGTCGAAATCTATAAGAAAATGTTTTTAATAAAGTTTCGAAGGTGGTCGAAAAATGGGTGAAATTTTCAGTTTTCATTTATAGAAAAATTTTGATTTTAAAAAAGTTGCCTAAAAATTCCCAAAAATTATGGGAAACAAATTTTAACGTACTGATTCCAAAAATATACCTACCGTGTTGATGATCCCGGGGCAAAAATTTAGAAATATTCAGTTTGAAATTCAATATTTTCTAAAAATCGACAAAATTGCCGTTTTTCAATGGACGATTCTGGAACAATGGTACGAGATATCGAAGAAATGAGAATGAAAGAAATTTTTGAAGGTCGAAATCTACAAGAAAATGTCTTTGGTTAAGTTTCAAAGTTGGTCGAAAAATTACCGAAATTTTATAAGGACGTGGTATTGAAAAAATTTTATTTTGAAAAAGTTGACTAAAAATTCACGAACAATTTGGGAAACAAATTTTAACGTGCTAATTCCAAAAATATAGCGTATGACCCCGGGGCACAATTTTAAAAATATTCAAATTGAAATTCAATATTTTCTAAAAATTATAACAACTGTCATTTTTCAATGACCGATTCTAGGAGTTCGAAGAAATAAGGATGAAAGAAATTTGTGGAAGTCAAAATTTACAAGCAAATGTCTTTGGTTAAGTTTTGAAGGAGGTCGAAAAATGTCCGACATTTTCACAAGAAGAGCCTATAGAAAAATTTTGATTTTAAAAAAGTTGCTTAAAAATTTCCAACAAATTTTGGGAAATAAATTTTAACGTGTTGATTCCGAAAATATAGGGTGTTGATGATGTCGGGGGTAAAATTTTAGAAATATTCAATTTGAAATTCAATATTTTCTAAAAATCGTAAAAATTGCCATTTTTCAATGGACGATTCTAGAAAAAAGGTAGGAGATATCGAAGAAATGAGGCTGAAAAAATTTCTGGAGGTCAAAATCTACAAGAAAATGTCTTTAGTTAAGTTTTGAAGGAAGTCGAAAAGTGGCCGAAATTTTCATAAGGAAATGGTCAATGGTGTAGTGGAAAAATTTTGATTGTGAAAAAGTTTACTCAAAATTCACAACAAATTCTGGGGATTCGGCGAGCTCATTCCAAAAATATAGCGTGGTTATAGAATCATTTCTGCCATAAACAATATTAAAAAAACTTGTATACCAAAAACATAGTTTGTCAATGAGAACCAGTTAATCTTATTAGCAATTGTGTTTAAAAACCTAAACGTTACAAATAAATTAACCAATTAAAAATGAAAAACTCCATGGTGCAAAAATCCCTACTAACACGAATGTGAGCATTAACATAAATTGAACTTTGGCGGCCATTTTTTTTTTTCAATTAGAATTAAATGCAATTTTCGCCGCTATTTAACTCTCTGTTCTTCCTCTTGAGTATGACACTAATGACCGTCTTTGTTTGATATTCTCTGTCCATCGCTAGGGAAAAAAAATGAAATTCAGATAACCCGACAAAGATAAATTGCTACAAACTACACTCATGTACTCAGGGTAAGGAAGGAAACGAGAAGATCTGTTAAAAGTTTATTGAAAATTTTACCTCGCTGTAATGACTTACGCGAGTAATCTAAGTGAAATTAAGTAGAGAGAGATATTTCAAAATGTTCAGTCACAATGAACTTTATCTAAAAAAGCTCTCCCCCACGTAGAAATGAAAGCGTCCGAACTTCCTGGCAACAAATCAAAAATCGTTGGGGCGTGTTCATTATTTAACGCTTTTGGAAAAGTGGCCCCGTCGACGCGACGTAAATTGACCACGCCATAACCTCCACAATTATTTATACCCCGTTTTATCTCTCACCTTTTCCTTCCTCTGAAATTTCCAGTCACAATAAAAACTCCTTCAAAACCGACTCGATAAACTAATCGCGTCAAGTCGACTACCGCAAACGCGGAAATCGGTTTATTTATTAACGAAACATAAATCCGCGCTGACGTAAAAGCGGTGCATAAACAAATCGCAGCGAGTGCTTATCCGAAAACAGCAAAAGCACTCCCAATTCGAAATAATCAAACAAAAACTCTTTTCACTAACGCTAGGCTCGCAATCTAATTGCCGGTCACCATGACAACATTGAATTCAAATGTTTCACTACACCAACGACGCCTCCCTGATTTTATTTTTTCGCCCTTTGAGATGAAAAATGTGCTTTCTCGGGGTTGGGGGTGTTACGTCCCGAACGTGCGTTAAATTCACGCAAAGCTTATTACGTTTATTAATATTCAGAACAACAAGGCGGAGTGGGTTTATGAAATTGTTGCTTGCCACGGGACGAGGAAGAGGGATATATTAACAATTTCGGCTTATCGTAGCGAATGATTGTGCATTATGCGCGTCTAGAGTACTAATTTCAAACTTTCTTAATTACCGTATTACAACCTCTCCCTTGTTTCTCGGCGGTTTTCAAAGGGCGGCTTTATGTTATGCTACTTATAGTTCGAAAACACTGCTTAATGTCAAATTTATTAAACGCCACTTTAATCAGCTTAAACTGAATTAAAAAAAAACAAGAAAAAGCGATATCTTTGTCGAACGGAGTTCAAACCGTTTTTGCTTTCCCGATAACCAATAAAGATAGCAATTCGTTTTTTTGGCAATAGAAATAACACGTTTCTAGTTAGTTTATGGGCTACAGCTCATTTATTTTATCAGGTGACGTTTTACTACTTCAGATAACAGTGATCTACAAGGAATCGAAATCTGTGACAAGTTTTACACCAGCATGTAACGTTTGCGAAATGACAGCACTGATTTAAGTAACTGGTACGAAAACCGAATATAATTACATCCTTTATTCACATTTACTGAATGAAGTATATAACATTGCATAAGGAAATATAATAAAACATATATGGCTCAGAAAGATCTGCATGTTTTAATATATTTACCAGAAAAAATATGCAAACAACGAGCTCCTATTCGCAAAATACGACCTTATATTTATTTAATGGATTTCTTTTGCCTGAAGGCATTCAAAATAAGGCCTGCACTCAACAGAAAATCGCTTTTATACGAATAAAAACAATATTTTATTTTGTTAAATAAAAATAAAAATTGCAATGCAAATTTTTTAACGATAGAGTTTTCTTATTTTCTTTTTAATTTGACAGGAAGGTGACCTCTTTCCTTAATTAAATTTTCAGTTAATTGGTTTTTAATAAGTGCTTTAATTTGTAATGCGCAATTATTTAAGAAATATTGATCGTTTGGTAAATTAATCACGGGTAAAATTAAGTAACTGGTTATTTCCACGTGTTTGGATTCCGGCTATCTTTTTGTATCTGCAGTGATTATAAAAACAACGGAAAAATAATCTCGAGACGTTTACATTTTCAACGAAAGTTGTACTTTTGGGAGCAAAATTCAATACACATTTTAAATAAACAGTTTCACAAGTTACGTCATTGTGTACTAGTGCTAAATAATAGATAACTTGATTGAGGCCGTAAAACCTAGCACGTAAAACAATGTTCGATAAGTGTCGCTTTTGTGTAAAGTTCCCCTGTCTTTCCGTGAATAATACGATGAAATTATGATTGACAGAAACTGCAATTTGTCTCAACTTAGTTTACAACGTAATTACAAGTTCTTTTGTCTTTAGAATAGAATGAAACAAACTTAACAAAACTTATACGACAAGCTTGGAATACCTGCTTTAATGACATGTAATAAAATTTGTTTCCCTCAATTTTACAGCGACTGAAAACCTCCTTCAATGGCAAAATTTACAAACATTTAGCAGGGAAGTTTATGCTCTCCTTCGAAAATAACACGACTCGGTGTGATTCTTTTACTTCCGAGCGTAAGCTATATGTTTTCTCGACCGATAGTTGTCAAATTTTGTATATACATTAGGGCTATCATGTAGTCGACGATTTGTTAAAAATCGTTAAATAAATGCACAATTTTATAAAAACAGAAAAATATTATATATACTTATATTACTTGAGGCAACAATCGCATAGCATTACGTACCTAAATGCTGCGCAAAGCAGAAAGGTCAGTTGTTGCTTGTTTGCAACGTTCACTGTAACAATGGCTTAATTTTTCCCCTTTTTGAGAGACGTTCCAGTGCTTTATGCTCCGAAAACAATTACTTCGATAACAAGGATGTTAAACCAAGTTTTGTGCAAAAACCTAAACTGGCTCCATTATGTTCGTTAATTTTCTAAGATACTTATTGTAGCAAACGACTGTGCGTTGAGCGTCTAGAGTGTATAAATTTCAAACTTTCTTAATTACCGTATTACTAACCTCCCAATCCCTCCATCCTGCTTTCTACGAACATTACTACTTATGGATTATTACTCCGAGCATCTCGGCTATTATATCCAGGGGCGCGTATTCACTGAAAGCAAGGGAAAAACTTCCACAACTTTTATCTTATTTTATTTAAGCACTAGTAAAATTTGAATTATGCTTTTGGCTTGATTGAGAAAAAAATTCACATTTTTAAATATATAAAGAAATTCTCGAGTATTCAGAAATTGTCGAAATATTTAAAAATGAGGATACAGTGTATAACGTTAATGCTGGTCCAGTTCCCCACTCCCACTGTTCAGTGTTATAAATGGTGGGGGACCAGTTACTGTGACAATACACCGAATCCTCAAGTCCATTATACACTAACTTAAAAAATTGCTTCCCCTCCACCGGAATCCCGCCACGCCATTGCCTCAGTCGTAATTTCCATTGTGGCCCGCGTTTCAGGAAGGACCTCGTAGGTCGATACGCATCCCTCTATTACCAGAACCGCCCCCGGGCCCTCGAAGCCCTCGATTCCCTCCCGGAATTGGCCCACGCCACTCAACTCAAATCGAAAATCCTGTTTTCCGTCGTCGTCGTAAGTTACACTAACTCGATTACCAAATTGGCCGTAAACTAACGAGGGTATACAGCTCGCTTTCAGGACCTGCAGGAATCTACGGGACGCCAAGTTGAAAGAGACGTTCCGAAATTTGCATCTCGACGGAAGGACGACGGTCGGTCAGACCTTGAGGGATGACGTGATTAGGTGCTTGGCGGCGGCGGCGGACACCTACCCGCTCGGGGAGGCGGAACACCAGGTCAAGGCGTTAGTGTGCGACACGCTGAAGGAGTACAAGTGCTTGGAGGGCTGTGCGACTCTGCGCAGGTGAGAGGGGGAATAGCAGGAGGCGGGGGGAAGTTTTGTGTAAGTTGGAGCGAAGGGCCAACTTCTTGTTCCTCCCGCCTTTTAGCGGGTTTTCTGTTTGGGGTTCTTTTCCGAAAAGTTTTACCAACTTTCGGATCGTATTATATAGGGTGAGTGTGAACGCTAGCGGAAACTTACTACACAAACTTTAGTTTTAACGCTGATGTCTTTGTTTTAGTTAACAAATTTGTCTTAAAATATTTTTCGGTTTTACGAAAATTCAATGATTTTCTAATATTGAGTTCCAGACCTTTTAATAACCTTTCTTTACACAATTCTTCCCGTCGAGGATTTAATTGACATAACAAAATTTTTTTAATAATAATCTAAAAAGACAGTGTTTTAAATGAGGTTTAAGGTCAGGAATAGTCAGTCTTAATTTTTGAAACGCAAGATTTCTGAAATTGAGGGAACAGTAAGATTAGAAGACGTGAGAGAAGAATTTCGTTCAGTAAAAAGAATATATAGAAGAATTTTGATTTCAGCTCGGGTGTTAAGTTGAAGAGAGATGTTATTTAGAGTAATTTAGAAAATATTCTAGAAGGATACTAATCGAAATCTAATATAAACAGAACATTTTCGATTTCAGCACAAGGTAGCATTTGTAGAAATAGAAAGTTGCAGTTAATTGAAGTATGTTTTAGAAGAATTATATTCGTTAAGGAAAAGGGAGAGAAGACTTTCAAGTTCAATTCTTACCTTTAACCAAAGAATTTTAGAACAATCTATATGAAAAAAAAAACGAAATGTCCTCGAACGAAGACGGAGAGACGAATAAAACTTTCAGGAACTATAGAAAGTAATCAAAAATTGTTCTTCACGGTTTACCAACCGAAGACAAGACGAACAAAAAGTGAGAAAAGGAAACAAACAGACATCGGAGTCGGTTTAAAAAGTTGGGATTTCCACAGGGCATCAGAGTCAGAGTTTGGGTCATCAATTATTTACTTAAAAAGAATATGAATTTAAAATTCATCGGTTTTAAAGATGACGGCAAACGAATGCTTTCACTCAGGATATCCGAGATAAATTTTTATGGGTTTTATTTTTACAAGTATTTCGTATTCAGACCAAAGAGCGAACTCAAATCCATCCACCGACTTGTAGATTGAGACCTCCCTTCTTGATTGGTTTTTTGTATGTCTTCTTAAAATTAATGATCAGATTATTTTGTCGCTCTCTTCAATTGAAAAAGCTGATTTGCATTAATATCAAAAATTTGGTTTCGAATACGATCCGTATTGCATTGAAAATATCCAAAGCAATTCCACGTGAAAAATAAATTTCCTTTGGTATTACCGACGATAAATCGATGAGATCCGTATTCAGATCCGGATACAAGTTATGAACATAACTAAATTATCAGTGTTAATAAGCCAAGGCCACTGATAGTTACGACATAATTTCCAGTTTGTGAAACCACTACTTGAAAATTATTCATTTCGGGTTTTTTTTTTCAACTCAAAGTAAATAATTCTATACGTTAGGTAGCAGCTTCTTTAAAGTGGTACAACACTTTTTTTCTTGTGTTCACCGCTTAATCAGTGAGAAACCACAACAGTTTTTCCACGCTACAGTTCCCACATTTTTTGATGCCGCAAAAGATTGTACGTAATTCCCAGACGCATTTTTTACTATTTACAGGACTCGTGATGTATTTTCTTCAATAACATTTTCTATTTAATAATTATTTGCATCGTCAGACTGGAACCGACATTTAAAAAATCATTAATTAATATTAAAACTATTTTTCCGTTATTTTGTAATTGATACAACTCGTTGTAAAAATATAATTACAATACGCAATATTAATGAATTATAGAGAGAAATAAATGCCGGGTGATTAATTATTGAAGCAAATTTTTGTGTTGGTAGTTCTAAATAATTGGCAGCAGTGCTGTATGTCAGTTTGCAGTTGTCAATTTTGACATCAGCATGCCAGCAAACGTTTTGATGGGCTGAGACGATTGAGCTACTGGCTTGTGTCACAAATGTTACTTTGACAATAAGGTATGCCATCATAAAATTTTAAATATGTTGCCAACCTGACAAAAAAATCGCAAACATTAATAGCCACTCGGTATATATTTATGTGAACGAATGAATTTAATTTAATAGAAACGTTAAAACTTACTTTCTTGAAAATAAAGCGTTTTCTTCAACGTCTAGATCAATAAATTAGTCTGAAAACTGGCTTTTAATTCAACCTTCTCTTCACGTCACAGGAGTTCTAATTACATTTCTGTATCTTAGCAACCTATTCACACCCACTAGAATACTTCAGATTAATAAAACAATAGTGCAGATCTTCAACGACTTTACCAATCAAAGGTAGTTGTATTAAATATAAGTCTCATCATTATACGAATGGCTTCAGCCACAAAATTGTGTTCTTTTGGTGTTCGAAATACCACCACCGGTGACGACTGTCCTCAAATAATGACGACGATTGTGTTTCAGGTACATAGGAGACGTCACCAGGGTGGCGTGGCTCCTAGTCAATCAACTCCCAGCGTACGAGCTCGACACAGATTTCCAGACTCCGATTAGATTAAAACCAGAGAAACATCAAAGGCATCACTCCGCTGACCGTACCAGCGACATGGTGAAATCCTATCTGTGGCCAGCTTTGGTGCTTCAGAATGTTTGCGTGTATAAAGCGGTTGTTGTAACAGGGGGGACTTGATTAGTTAAAGCTAAAGTAATCATATATTTGTTTTGTGCTTTGTAAATAGGATAACTTTTATCAATAAATACACAAGTTTATGACAGTTCATTATTCTTTTATCGTCGAGTGCGATTTTTCGGCAAAGATTCACATTTTCCTTTCAATAGGAATGGACCTAGTATGCATCCTTGAGGTTTTCCGCTTAGCCGTTTCGGTCATCCCGTGCATACTCATTAAGTGTGTACCTTACCATTATCAGCGGGCTTTATCGTAATGATTGCATAGAGTTTAATCTAATCGTCGATTTTTTTAGATAACTGACCTTTATCACGCATTTTACATTCCTTAAGCGTAGTAAATTCGAAGGAAACGATTGTAGTTAGTGCAAGTGAATTCCTATTAGAATTGTGTTTAGTGTTTTTGTCACCTTGAAGTCCATGATGTTATGTTAATTGCATCTTTTTTTAAGAAGGAACACCGTGCGGTATTTGCTAAGTGCATTCTCGGTTTAAACAATTGGTATGTTTGAACGAATTAGGATTTCATTATTATGTAATTCGGAACCTTATCAGTTTAAACCGGTAAAATACTCGTTTATAAAGTCAACGTCGAAATAAGATTGAAAGTTTTAAAAGCACTCGCTTTGGGACTTTAAAATTCAAATTAGACTTGATGATTGTATTTTGCCGCAATTATTTGTTTACACTTTCATTCTTAACGCACCAGAACAGAGAAATAAATAAATAAACTGTTGCTTACAACTACGAAGAAATTAATATTTAAATATGAAATATGAAATTACTAAAATACGCTGCTTGGTAACATAATAAAATGATGAATTTTATAAGACCAAACGATAATAATCCACTCAGAAAATTGAAATTTCCCTGAAACAAATAATAAGACATTTTTATGTCTCAGAGTTATTTTATTTATTGATTTATTTGGTTTTAATAAAAGGAATATTCTTTAGTAAAGCCATACTGGTTTTTGTGCTGCAATTTTTTTTTCAGAGTAGGATTGACGGTGGCAATTGACGCTACACCGAATAATTTTGGTTGATGATGCAAAATCAGATAAAATGTGACATACATATCTGATAAAAACATTTTAACTGAGTCATTATTTACCATTTTTGATTGAAATCGATTTGGAATTTATCTGAGCTAACATCAGCGTGTTTCAAATGATAGGGCGAAAAAATTAGAATAAAAATGTTGCATTTAGTGTGAATTTTCTGAAAAAAATTATAAAAAAGTGAAAAAATGAAACAAAAAATTATATTAAAAATCGTTTGCGTTGACCTTGACGGTTTCTCGGCCGACCCGCTTCGCCACCGTCACGCGTTATCTTAGCCACGTCCTCCATCTGTCACTTTCCAAAATATCCCCGAAATGCTCGTCCAGCTCTCGTCGAATTCCTCGTCCTCTCCACACTATCGGCCCCCAGCCCCATCCCCCCATCGCCGCCCCCGTCTTCCGCGCACGCTTCCGCAGCTCCACCTCCCGTGAAGCGGCCTTCCATCTCCACCGCTCGTTAGTTCGCGTTTCCTCCGCCTGGGTTATCGGTGGCCGTGGCGCGTATGCGAGAGACGCGTGTTGGGAGTGCTGAAGAGTGAACTCTGTGAAATTTGCAGAGAAAGTGCGCCAGGGCGGCATTCGAGGGTTGCCCGACACACCCCAGCCGACGAACCCCCGACGGACGCACGGCGGCCTGCAGGGTGCGCAGCGAGGGTGCAAGTGCATAGCCCCGGCCCCCAACCACCCCCATAATTAATGGAAACGGGTCGTTCACGGCCCGACCCGGCGGGTAACTTCAGCCACCAAACTGGAACTCATGGAATTGGAAAACATCGTCGCCAATACAGTCTATCTAAAAGCGAGAGAGGGTGAGTGGGCCCACGAGGGTGCAACGCCAACCAAACTTGACTTGTGACTTCTGTGCAGGTGGTTCCGATAGTAATAAAGGCAAGAGCAAGAAGTGGAGGAAGATCCTGCAGTTCCCTCACATCTCCCAATGCATCGACCTCATCAACAAAATAGGCAAGTGTTCCACATGTAGGTAGCACGACATGGTCAATTAAAAAACGCAATTCAGAGTACTGGCAAGGCAGCCCCAACACCATTCGAACACAAAAGTGAGGTTAGGTGCTCGCTCTATTTGTGTACACAAAAAGCGCAAAAATGCCATAAATGTGTGGGCCGCTTTTCCCAATCTAAAACCGTTTGACATTAGCTAATTTTATTTACACAACTTAATTACCCCTTACGTAATATTTCTGCTTCAATAAAATTAAAAGTTACCTGCCAATAATGTCAATCACCAAATCACAGGTAACGTGATAATTTAATTATGACATTAGATCCTTCAGCCGCGCGTGGTACAGTGGCGTACCAAATAATTATAACCCTTTCATTCAACAGAAAAAAAAAACAATAATAATAACCCGCGGTAATAGAAAGTAAAAATCGTCTTTATCTCCGTATCAGTCATTAAACTCCTACATTGACATTATCGCATTAAAAGCGTGATTTAAAAACAGATCTGTCCCGTGGCGTTGACTTATTATTTATGACTACCCGTTTCGTGGGTGCTGTAATCACCATCAGTGTCACAAATTGAGGTTATGTAACAAACCCCCTAATTAACCTATTGAGAAAGAAGAATTAAAATTCCCCCGCCAGCTCAGGATGCATTTCAACATTCCTCTCGAGTTTATAATGTTTCTATCGATTTTTTTATTGCTCTTGACGAAATAAGGTTACTAATATGGATATAAACGCAGCAATTGAAGGTGAAAAACAATTGAATTTGATTAAGAGATTTTGGCAATCACCATATATAAAAACATGACGTAACGAATAGTAAATTTAAATTGATATTATTTTTAGATCGGATAAAAAATATCGGATTAATCTCCGAAAGTGCGCAAATTAAAATTTATTCCCAATTTATATCAAGGTCAGTCGTTTCATTCAGTTTCAAGTTTGAGTGCTTGCGTTATTAGATTTTTAAACTTTCTATGTGAGTAGAATTTCGTCGTTTTTTTCGAGAGAATGTCTGTTATGGAGTTACATTGATTGCTGTAAATGTCGGTGATATATTGCGAGATGTGTTTCTGGTTATAAAAATTTCGATTAACTTAAAAGCCTGGCAGTGATCAGACATTCAAACTTTTTATGAAGTGAGTTGTAATAGCGGAAAAATAACGCGAAAAAAAGACCGAACGCGTTTAAATCGTGCTAAGTGGAGATATAGCATCGTTATTTTCATGTACTGACGTTGCACTAATTCAAATCATGATAATTAATTGTACACAAAGTGTCTTTAGCATCCTTAATCGAGGTACAGTATCTATGAATCACAATTTTAAATTTACTAATGTTATTTAGATAACAAAAACTATCAAAATTTGGAATTTACTAATAATGTGTATTAATTAAAGATAATTTATCTACAGTGTTATCAAATAGTGCTTAAAATTTTGCCAGTGGGCACCGTCGAACTGCGCCTATATCCTTGATTTGCAGTTTTCATGCTAATAAAAACAAACCCATATTTTTTATTCTCTTCGGAAGTCTTTTGGACCCGATGTTTTGCGCAGTTCCACCATAATTTGGTAACCTAAACGTGGAAAACAAATTCGCAAATGTGGATTTCATTACTTGTTTATTCATTTAGCAGAACAGTTCCAAAACAGAGCAAGATAATTCACCATATTATTCCTGATGTTCATCTCTTATTAGTTCTTTTCTTCTCATAATGTTTGCAAAGAAAATTGAAGCTTGTAATATCATTACTTTGTCGATAACTGATTACGGCTATTGTTGATGTTCATTTTTAGACTAAATTATTGCAGCATATTTGCCAGGAGATGATTGTAGTGTCTTAAGTGTAATAACAAACTAGCCGGATTGGTAATGAAAGAACGAAGGTAACGTTTTCTTAAAGTTCGAATTTATTTGTAGCGTGAATTATCTTAATTAATCTCCATTGCGCTAAAAAATATGGTTCTTGTGTTATTTTAGTCCCGATTTATATATCTGTATTGGAATTTTCGCGTTCGTACGAACCGAACGTATATTGTGTTTTTGTAATTGTAAAGTTTATTTGAATATCTGGTTTCTTTGAAATATCTAGGAATGTTTTGTAAACGAAATCGTTCCAACACGTGTCGGGTTTTGTTTATATTTGCAAGTACAGTCACTCGTACTCGTGTTATTATTATTACAAAGAATAACAAAAAAATAATAACAAAATCGTAACGAAAAATCAACCTTTGACTTTTGTTTGTAAAATATGTATAGTGGTGTAAAATAAAAACTTGGAGATACGAGTCCTTGTTACAGAATTGAGCAAAAAAGATCTTAATTAAGTTAATATCATCCTTTGAGATACAATAGCATCTGGAGATGTCAGAATCGGCGTGCGGCGAAAGGAACAACGAAAACTGACATCAGAACATCGTGCGAATGCATGTGTAGAGATGACAGAGGAATCAATAGAAGGGGCGAATAAGTAAAGTCCCATTTTTTCATGGCATTCCGCACCGGTGCGGTAACGTTACCGACCGCAAAATACCGGCCAGCAAAAAATTCCAAAGACATTAAATAATCTCATTTTTTCCACCCAATATTTACAATTCCGTGATTGATGATGGTGCCAGTCTTGACATTCGACAAGCCGCAATAATGTATTTTTCAATCGTAGTAGGCTGCACATCCGTTCCCTGACAATCTTTCAGGTAAAAATGAGTCACGGCTTATAATCCGGCCGTTATCGCACGGCTCGAATGCCCATTTCTTTATCGAAGTGGGCTGCACGTGTAGCCTTGACGCATTGTCTTTGCGCTCCGCTTTTTGCGAATCCGCTGGAAATTAGGGAAACCCGACCGAAAATGTGCTCTTGTTAACGTCAATTGATTCATTAGCGGACGTCCGACTGATAGTGAAGAATGCCATCCAAATAAGGCGTTTTTTTTTTTATTAAAAAAATCTCGTAGTCCCAAGCTGTTTCCTCTATTGATATCCCGGGAACTACCCCGAACTATGTTCCGCAGATGCGCACAGATTATGAAACATATAGATCTGTTTGCTCCCAAACAAGAAGGAAATCGACTTTTTTCCGGCGAAAATATTGCGGAGGGGCTACTTGAAATTACAAATTCTTATTGACATCATCGAACGATTTAAATAATACATTGAAATGCGAACTTTGTGCTCACTCGTGGCGTATTTTAAATCAGATTCGTACACGCGCTGCATAAAAAGGTCTAATATACATTTACGACCTTTTTGGGTATCGGAGGCCGTGAAATTTGCTTCGAGGACGGCGCACGGGCCTAATTCAATATTTTATAGGCCATGGGGGCAGTTATTGGGCGCGATATTAAAAAAATAAGGGGAACGATTGAACTTAAACGTCGCACCGAAAACGTTAAAAAAACAGCTCCCGTAGGGCTATCATTTTGAGGAAAAATTGCAGCGTAGTGTTAATTACGTTAGTCGTAACGACGTACTACGCGCGATAAAGTGGTTTTAAATAAAAACCTAATATTTGTTAAATTCCCAACCTGTTTTGCGAATTTTGCGTTCTTTACACCGGAGAATGCTGGTAATTTAACATTGTTTACGTTTTTATTTTCATCATTAATTGTTTTTGTTATTTTATAGCGAAAGCGGCAATTTGTCTTCACTTTATACTGAGTGTACCGTAATTAAGTACTGAAGTTTTAGTAGCACATTCTCGTCTCAAAATAACCCAATTTGTTTAATAACAAGTGTTGCACTGCCCGTGTCAAATGGGTTATTTTCTTACTTAATTTCCTCATAACTTACTCAACTTGAAAGACTAAACATAAAAACATTTTATTTGTTTTTTGCAAATATCTTGATGTCGTTTGGGTGCATTCACAATAAAATTATTGCTTCGACGAAAACGTGGATTTAATTTTGTCGTAGGAGTTCTCTTTGTACGTACTATGAAAATGGAAAGAAACAAATATCGTGACATTCCTTTAACAGACGTTCCAAGACTTGAAATGGAAGTTTTTTAATTTCGTTTGATTCTGGAGATAGGAGTACTAGGACTAAAGTTTAAACGAATTACATTTCCTGTAGTACAGGGCTCGACAATTAGATTTGTTGGAGTTAACACGTGAACGGAGTTATAGTAGGGACAAAATTAATTCAATATAAATAAATATAATAAACGCCTCGAGTGCTACAAGACAGAACTTTGATTGCGTCTGTAACGTAACTCCAAGTTTTCACGTTTATTATTCCAAGTGAGAAAGTTTATAAAATGGGGAACAATGAATTTTAGAATGGATTTTGCAGGGAATTTGCGTTATATAATAATGTGGGGTTTCTAGAGAACCCAAATCTTAGGACAGAAAGATACGAATTCGTTTCTATAGAGAGTTTAATTTTTCCGAGTTTAATTGAACTTCCATCGAACGAAATAACAACGTTCTACAGAAAATATTTTACGAGATGAAAATAAAAATTGTGTGTAACGGCGAGCACTAACTTCTTGTTATTAGATCCGTTTATCTGTATATTTAGAACGAAAATGGCTTTGTTAGAATCCAGGTCGTAAGACTAAAAGAAATAAACGTTACTTTATCGGAAATTTTAGTTTACGTTATAGCTAAAGCGAGTTATTGTGTAACTTATATTCATTGTCCTAGAGTTACGAAAATTTGAGTAATTTTATCCATTTATCAACATTCTTCGAACGTAAATAGTATTTTTAGGAGCAAAATGGAGGACGAAAAAAGATATTTTTTTTGTAGCGAAGTTTGCTCTTTTTGTTTTGCTTATCGCGGATTATTGTGTTTTGTGTAAGCTGAAACTTTCTTTCTCGAGTTAAGTGAAAAAGCTGTGAAAAAAAGTGGTCGAAAGCTATTTCAACAGAAATTCATTCGCTCGTGAAATAAAGTCCAACAAATCATGATCCTTTGAAAAAGTATAAAATTTGATTTTGCGAAATTTTACCTTTTTGTGATAACTTCCATACACAAGGAGTCATAGTGTAAGAAAAAAAAAAGTGGGGACCCCGAGAAAGGTTCACCTTTAAAAAAAAGACAGTTGGTGCTCCCAAGAAGGTTTCACCTTCTTAAAAAAGACAGTTTTAGGCCCCCGAGAAGGTTTCACAGTGTCTTAATAAAGAGGTGTGGCCCACGAGAAGATTTCACCTTCTAAAAAAAAGACAGTTGGGACTCCGTGAAGGTTTTACATTCTAAAACAGTTGGAGGACCCCGAGAAGCTTTGGGATCCTTAAAAAAGACAGTTAGGAGCCTCGAGAAGGTTTCACATTCTTAAAACAAAACACAGTTGGGGGCCTTGAGAAGGTTTTACATTCTTAAAAAAGACCGTTGGGGCCGTCGAGAAGGTTGCCCCTTCTTAAAAAAGACAATTGGGGCCTCCGAGAAAGTTTCACATTCTTAAAACAAAAAAGAGTTGGGGGCCTTGAGAAGGTTTCACGTTCTTAAAAAAAAGACACTTGGGGGCCTCGATAATGTTTTACATTCCTAAAAAAGGCACTGGGAGTCCCCGAAACGGTTTCACTCACTTAAAAAAAAGTTGGTTCCCTAAGAAAGTTTCATCTTCTTAAAAAAAGACAGCTGGGACCCCCGAGGTTTCACATTCTTAAAAATAAGTTAGCGCCCCGAGTTTTCAGTCTTAAAACAATTTTCAAAAATTATTTCGACAAAAATTCCTTCGCCCTTGAAGTGTAGTCCGACAAATCTCGCTTCTTTAAAATACCACTACTAAAATTTGATTTTGTGATAAAATGCGCAAGTGTGTACAATATAAAATATACATATTGAAACCAGATAACCATCGGGAATGTAGATATTCTCAATTTCTCAGTACGTGCTTAACTTCGACTATTTACTTCGAAAAAATTCGACTGTTAGCACAGTCAATTTACAAGCATCAGCGGTTAAAAGGAAACGAAATTTGATTTTGTCCCTTCAGCGCAGGAGAGAGGACTGATTAATTAATTAACTATACCCAGTTTTTCCCACAAACACTCATAAATTTGGCAAATTTGTATGACGACGGACAAATTTTGATTAACGATTTACCATGGCAGAGGTCATGTAACGTCAAGAAAACATAAAAGTAGCCAGTTGTCCAAGGACTCGTTTATAGCACTTACCGGAAAATACTTTCCGGAACTAAAATACAAATTTGTTTAGTAAGAAAATGGCATTCGTAGGATGAAAATCCTAAGAAAAAAGATTTAAACTTTCAGAGCTTTTAAAATTCCACGTTTGGTTGAGATGCGTTTTGTGTAAGCGTAATTTCCTGTTACAGTCGAGCTTCTACCGAGAATTGAAGAAGGCGGAACTCAAGAAAGCTTTGTTTTTTGTGTTCGGTTTAGTGGATCGTCTGTAATTTTGACTTCCCCGGAGGCCAAATCGCCCACGTACCCACGTTTCAAGATTATATTAAATCCGGAGTTAGAACGTTATTTGTCTGTTTTAATATTCTCCTCAACCTTTCCTTTCTTCCACAAGCCGCGGATTTGTACGGCCGAGCAATAAAATTATTTTTGTTCGAGTACATTCGGGATAATATTAGTGATCCTTTGAAGCAAGTTCGTTTATCTTTCAAGCCTACACAGCCCAACAGGAACGAAGCACATGTTTAGGAGTATTTACGAGTATTTGCTTGCGTACAGATTTACTAGTCTACTATCGCCGTGTTTGTTCTCGTCCTCGTCTCCTCTCGCAATTAAGCCCTATCAGTGTATGCGTTCGTTATCGCAATCCCCTTTTCCCGTATGAGAAAATTGCAAATTGCAGCCGATAACGAAACACCTCCATTCATTTTCCCAGACGGCCGTACCACCAAGCACTAACACCATAAAACCGATAAAAATTCCAAACCATTGACGCGCCCGAAATTTATGGACTTTTTCACTTTCCAGGAGCACGAATTATGCGCGATTAGAACCTGTCCGTTATTTTCGAACGAATAATTTATTTAGGAGCAGAAAAAACGATAGAAAGTTATGCAAATTAAGCGAGTCTTGTTTATTTTTTCGTGGCAAATTGTTGGCGTTCCGTTTTTTCTCTCTCGCCCATAGACAGTTATTATTATTGAATTAAAACAAATTGGGAATGATTGATGGTCGCCAGCGTTCGACGCTAATCCAATGAAAGCCCCAGCTCCGAGTGACATCGATCAGACAAATGAACGGCGATCGATGGCCCCGCCGCCGATAAATCGATACGATACAGTCACTTATTTTTATTAATGGCCCACTTTTTCGCCCAGCGACGGACGCCCACCGCCCGCCCACCCGGACGTCTTCATCGAGATCGGCGCACCGCAAGGCGCGCCTCGCGGTCCTTTCCTTTCCCTTCAGTCCCGGCGATTTTTGATTTTCGATGTGTTCTGCTTCCAGATGTCCGCTACGAGTACGTGGTCGACCAGCAGCCCATCGGGAAGCTGCTCTTCGAGCAGTGGTGCGAGGTGAAGCGCCGTGAGTACTACCGTTGCGTCAAGTTCCTCGACGTCGCCAAGCGCTATGAGGTCGAGACGGACGAGCAGCGTCTGGAGCTGGCGAACGCGATCAAGAAGGAATTCATGGTCGGCGCGGAGGGGGAGGAGAACATCTCCCTGCCCGAGGTGGGGCTCGTGCTCTCCATGAGTGATAAACTGACGAACGGACACAAAGACTTATTTGCACCGTGCGTGCAAGCGGTGAAGGCCTGCCTGGCGGGCGAACCGTTCAGGGAATTCGTTAACTCTATGTATTTTCATCGGTACCTGCAGTGGAAGTGGCTAGAATCTCAGCCGGTCACGTACAAAACTTTTAGGATGTATCGGGTCCTGGGGAAGGGCGGATTCGGAGAGGTGTGCGCTTGTCAGGTGAGTGGCGGGGTTTGGGGTGGTTTTCCTGTTTGGGAAAAAGTTACGAACATGTGGGTTTTCAGAGATTGGCGTTTTATCTAGGTTTAATAGTTGGAACTTACGCAATGTAAACATTACAATAATAGAGAAGGGTTCTATCGAACACTAGAGATAGGGATCGGAAGGGGTGATTCATAGATATTCCAAAATTGATTAATATTTTGAGAGTTGGCATTCTTTATGTGTCATGATTTTGAACTTGCAGGGAATTTAACTTCAAGTAAATTATTAGTTTTTTTATTAGTTATATATTGAACATCATCGAGGAGGTAGTATTGTATATGGTTATCAGTTATCACTAATAGTTTGCGAAATATGTATATGCAAAGCACATCCTAAATTTGCAAACTTCCTTCCATCTGACGACCGTCACAAAGCATTCATAGCTATAATTTCATTACTAAAATGTCCCGTCAGAGTTAGTCATTATGTCAAAACCGGAACTATACTGACGTATTTGACAATCCATTGTGACGCAAACTACCCACTAAACACCACGGCTGCACAAGATGACTTATTACTTTGAAACTCGACACTTTTAAACCCAACGATACATTTTTTGGCTAATTATTAAAGAAAACTAAGATTAAGAGATACGTTGGCGAAATGATGGTGTTACATTTGATTGCGAGAAATACGACCCATTAAACCTCGTTTATTGTGTCGACTGATATTTATCCCCGTCTGTGATAATTTTTTACGAAAATATTAGCTGTCGTTTTAATCGTAGCTCCCACAAAGAACTGTTGTTGATCTTTTACTTGATAATCTCTTAAGCTGCAGAAATTATGTGTAGTGAAACAAGCTCCAAACTTTTAGAAAATTTATGTCTGATGTTTGAGTTGATAGGCAAGCGGTGTGTTTACAACAAACATAATTAAATGTTTCGTGGAATTGTTGGTGTGTTTGATATTTTCTTTGTGCGGTAGTTAATTAGAACTACAGTTTCGGCACTGAACTGGGTATTTTAATAAGGTTCTTTAAAATAATTGGGTTGTTTTTAACATTGCCAACGTCACGAACGTTTTAATTGGCTTTTTTAAAATGTTTTGTGACATTAAACAAAATGGAAGATTATTGGAAAGAAAATGGCGGACGAGAGACATCGTTATTGCCAATTCCTGTGAAAATATACAGCGCATTTCATTGCAACGAATAAATTTTAGACAGTAAAATGTAAAATGGAACGAAAGTGTTTGTTTTTCACTTTTTTTTAAGATTATTATTTCTAAATCAACTAAACAGATGTAAAAAAGCCTAAAATCAATAACCACCTTGCTTCAGTCAACCAGACCGAAGAACCTCAACTCCGGTCTAGGTCGGACGTTCACTAATCCGACACAGTGCGGCAAATATCTGACTGACTCTAATTGGCCATATTTAGGGCCGAATTCTGTAAAGTATAAAGGCACTTTGGTAAAAGGATTGTCCTTTATATAAAGATAGGACCCTTATAGATCCGTTGCATAAAGGTGAAGTCCTTTATAGTTTCCCTTGTGCAACGTATGGTCATATGTGTCACTTTATGCAAATTATCTGTCAGTTTCATTAGCTTTATGTGGTGACCGTTTCTAAATAAAAGGGAAGAAATGGAGAATCTATGATTATTTATCCTAGAGGAATTACAATAAAGGTATATATGAATCAGAACAATGATGTCTCCTTCCAGTTTTATAATTTCATGGTCTACATTTGTTAAGATTAGCAAAAACCACTAAAAATCGTCATATTAAAGTTAATTAAGCCCAATTTGGTGGAAATACAAATACTTTTACGATGCTCCAAATAGACTGGTAACTCTAATAAACAACTTTGCAAAAACAATTCCTTTGGAGGAGTCTTTACTTATAAAAAAGACCAAAAAATCCATTAAAGGCCAGACTCCCCTGACCAGTTGCCACTCCAGTGTGTTGGTACATAAGGGGCCAGTGCTGATATCTCCAAAAATGTACATGATTTCATAAAGTGTTTATTATTTTTTTTTAAGTTTTTAATGTGTTACCATCATCACGAACCAACATACGAGCAAATAAATAATACTTTTACTATATGTCAAGCACAAAGACCACGACAAGAATTTCATATCTCATAAATTAACAAAATTTAAGTTTAAAAATATCACAGTAGCCGATATTATGAAAATTTGATTCCGTCTCTCTTGACACAATGATAAACGCAAGCGTTCCTTTTCTAAAAGCGTATACTATCGTAGTAAAAACATCCGTTCGTTCCTTTACATAAAGTCGAACTGACGCACAAGGATTCACTTTCACATTTCCTTTACGATAAAGCCTTTAACAAACGGATCCCTTATTAAAAGGTTAAGTTACAGAATTCGGGCCTTAGGACAGGAACACATTTTGGATTAGTAAGCGAGGTCCTAAACAATATCGGCAATCATGGAGTTACAAAATTTGTTATAAATTATAACATAATAGTGTTATATTTAGAGACATTACAAAATCGTTTTGTTAGTTTCAGTTTTTTCTTAAGATGAAATTTTTTGAAACATTGTAGTGAATAAAAGAGGTGGGGCGTGTTATTGTGAAGAACTTTTTTCATTTTTCATAATATTGCAACATTTTTTGCGCTCTCGAACTTCTTTACCTATTACACGTATACTTTCTAGCGTATTTAGTTTCACGTTTGTTTATACACTATATGGATTTTAAAATTGTAATTTAGAAAGGGATTGCTAAAATTTATGCAAAGTTTACAATAGGTGCTTTTATCAGTTTGGACCGGAGTTAAGACGAGGGATTAAGGCACTCCAGGTATCAGTGTAATTGGAGTTGATGATTGCCCAACCAGACTACTTCGCTATGGTTAACCTACCCTGAGTGACCCACCTAATAACCATTAATAAACCCTACAAGTTTATAAAGGTTAATATTCGCTGAAGCAGTTTATTCGTTTTCGCTGGACCCACGTTTACATTTGAATAACACAGCTTGCTAAAAATTTACGTTTAAAGCTTTTACTTACGATTTACCTTGACGGCATAGAAGTTTGTTTAAACATTTGAAAAAATATAAAGCTTTCGTTGTATTTATTTACACGAAAGTAATAAAAAATAAATGAAATGGAAAAGTCGAAACGAAAATAAGAACAAAGGTCATAAATACAGGCCAGAGGGAACGATTTAGGCATTTTATTTTTGTTTTTTGTATCAGTGTTTTCTAGTGTAGACCTTTGTGTCGAAATTTTGCCGTTTCGCAGCAGATTTTTAACTTTTAGATGACAGAAGTAAATATTTATGAGTTGTATAGCGTCAATTCAAAAATCCTTGACGTGATTGTCGTAGTTTCACACATAAAATCGACTATCACAATAAAATTCGTTACCCGAATGAAATTTTAATTGCGTGAAAGCCAAAATTGCTGAAAAGCAGAAGCACAGCAGCGTTAAAATGACAACGTCCCATTATTTCCGTAAAATAACAAACCATTTCTTTAAATAGCCCCAAGCAGGCTCGGTGGAAGCTACAACCCAAACTTAATGTAAATTGTAAGATGATAACTTTTGCTAATATAATTCTGCTTCACACAAAATTTAACCCAATTTGTACCGAGTTTCTAATTTAAGTAGACAGCAAGTTCGAAGACACTACGAATTATACGCGGCCTTTGAAAATGAAGTAATGGCTGCGAACATAATAACCTTCCATTTTCATATTTATCCATCAGCAAAATAAAATAACGAAGAAGTGGCGTAGGCGCAGGAAAACATAAACCGTAACCTCGTTAAAATCGAATTTCTGACATTCATAAAGCGAAGTAAAGTTTGCAAACGCGCTCCAGCGTTATTCGCTGTCACCTGTCTGTCACGTACACTCTGCATAGTTTGATAAAAGTGATCCCAACCCGAAAAGCGCCATTTTTAACTTCGCCCTCTTCGTACGACGCAGATCCGCTGAAAGTTTATCTTTAAAAAGGATTCACTCTTCCAGCCGTTCCAATTTTCCTCCCAGAATGTGATTATGTGGTTCGTTAATCAGCAAACGTCCGGAAAACGCAACACTTTATTCGTCACACATTCGTATGCTGAAATATTTAGCGTCCCAAAATCGATGAGCGCTCGCAGGGCTGGCCTCAACCCGCCGAAAAAAGGGAATATAGAATGCTTCTAACCGACAAGTCGTTCGTGTAAATAATAAATAACGAAGGATCTAATACGCGTCCCGGGAATTCGCAAATATGAACTCGTCTTTTTATTTTTGCAGTTTCGTCTGAAATTGTTAGATGCGTAATCTCGAAAGTCGTTTGGAGGCCGACCCTGTGGCGGCCTTTTGCGCCCCTATTTGCATATCGCCACAACAAAAGCCGTACCTGTTCGGTTCGAAGCATGTCGATCGTATGGAGTTAATTTTCCGCATGATGCTGTGCACCGACGTAGAAACATAAACTTGGCGTTTCGTGCCAGAGGAGCGTTCCAAATCGCTCTGGAAAAATAGCTGCAACTGTGGGGATAATAGCTGCGTCCGGGGATGTCCTTGCGAATTTTGACCTCGAAAATGTTTTGTTTTTATCGATTGACTTTGAAAATGCTCGAGGATTGAAACGGGATGGAGATAAGGTGGAGGACGATAAGGAGGAGCATGCAGTTGCGTCGTTATCATCTCGTACGAGGAAATTGACAAATATTTTTATTTTGGCTTTATGGCGGATTAGAGTGTCGCGGGAGATTTTTACTTTTATCTTCTCTTTTCAATTTCGCACTTTGGGAGATTCCGTGGAGCTATCCGAGGGGATTATGGGCGGAGAAAGTCGCAAGGATGGCGCAGGAATGTTAAATTCGTAATGGAATATTCTTTTACTTCATGTACGCGATGCAATAAAGTGAAAAATTAAACTACCACGTAGTTCTGATCTGGTGTAATGGCGTATAAACACGAAAAGTCTTTTAGGGAAAAGGGGTTATAACGAAATTCGCAGTGTGCGAAAAGGGCTGGAACGTTT